GCCCATCCCCGATTCTAAAACGCGCCCCATCGGGTGAATTGGCGCTCTTCAAGCGGTGGAAATGCCCAAAATGCACCCCCAAAATTGTCCCGTCGCGATGTGCCCTCCTATTTGAGGGTGGAATTGAGGTTAGACTGGGGGGTAGACCGGTGGTCCCGTGGGGACATTGCCGGCCCCTTTATTTTCCGGTTTTTTGTCGGTTTTTGGGGGTGAAATTAGCCTCAACCCGGCCCTCGTTTCCCCCGACCGTTCGCCCCTCATTATGCTATCGGGCCTGGGGCGGCTTGGCCCAATTCTGGGGTTTTCCGAATTTTACTTGTTGATGCTTAGGGTTTTAAAGGGACTGGAAAGGCTTAAATTGATAGATTTTTTGCTGTCTCTCACTCTGCTTCTCTCGCTTTCTCTCGCCCTCTATCTCTCTCGCTTTTCTGTTACGCTGTCTCGCTAATACACGCTCCCTCTCTCTTTCTCTCGCTCGCTCCATCTCGCATCTCTCTCTCTCTCCCTCTCTCTCTCTCTCTTTCTCTCTCTCTCTCTCTCTCTCTCGCTCTCTCTAGCTATCTATCTGTCTCTCACTCAACTTTTGCATGCCTTTATTTTTCAGATGACGCACCACGAGAAGTGCTACCATCACGTCGACCTCGAGGAGGATGACGGTATGGACTATTGTTGTTAAATTAAATTTGAACGTTGAAAAGGACGGCAGTCCACTTTCTCGCACAAATACCTAGCTGACACTACGCCGTTAATGCGCCGATACCTTAAAATCCCCCAATTTGACCCCGAAAAACGCTCGTACATACGTTCGCTGATTAACTCCCTTGCTGCCACCCGCCCCCCATCTGGCCCACAATACCGGGGTACTAGTCATGGAATTATTTGAGTTGTATCGCTTCTGGCCTTTGGCTATGATCAATTGTGTAGTTTATGTTCTTATCGGCTTAATCTCCGATACGTACACTATTGTGTACAACGAGATTAACATATTTTTGGAAATGGTTCGGTTAGCAGAAGCTTGCTTCTCGCCAAACAGCGTCGTCCCGGCATTGCACATGCCGTCGGGATCGGCGCACATCCCCAAGAGGGGGTGAACAATACCCTAAAAAAATCGATAAATCAAAATAGCTCAAAACAACTCATGCTCAAAAAGCTTAAAATACGCTGAGTAGCGCGAAACCAAAAGAAAGTAATAGGTCTACTTTGTGCAATTCCAGATCCCCTGAATTTCACGGATGAAGACGTGAAACGAATCGAGCGGCGTCGACTCGATCGGGAGCAGATTCAGGAATTGAATTATGGCGATGAGAAAGCGCAACAAAAGTATTTTTTTTTACTCCTTTTACTGTACACTGGAGCGTAGTGGAATTTGTATGATAGACTGCGTAGTTGGGTGGATTTTTAGAGCGTAGTTTAGCCAAAAAATTCAGGTAAATCTCTATCGTTTCATTGGTTTCTCCTAAATTTGGGTTTTAGTAAGCAACTGTGGCCCTTTCAGTTATTTAATTCTTCACCTTTGAAATTATCTGAGAAGCCAAGGTGCAAAATTGCTTCTTCATAAATTTTTATAAGCTTCGAGATAACAAATGAAAAACATTTGAAGAGAAAAACGTAAAATTCAACAAATTCAGAAATTAATTTAATTGCTTTTGAATTTGTTGAAAAACGAAAGAATATTCATTTTAAAAAGAAAATCCAACAGTTGACCTTAATTGCTAAATTACTGTCGTTTTATGAATTGTCAAGAAAACGTCAAAAAGCAAGGTAAAAATAAAAATTTCCAAATTAATTTTTTTTGCTAAATCCTCACTAAAAATCTTTCCATTTTCTAGACGAAGAGGCCTGTTTGCCCTGTGCAACTGTTTCCCGATAGGCCGAAAGCGGGCTGAGTGCGTGGGAAAGCGTTTTTGATTTTTGGATTTTGCATGATTTTTCGGCTTTCTATGATTTGTTCGGAGTGACCACCAATGGAGGCGCGCGCCCGCTGTCGTTTCTATATTGCACGCATTTTGCACTAATTTTCAGACATTTTAATCCGTCAAAAATGGGGTTTTTAGGGCTCGACCCCATCAGCAAAAGGGCGTCTCGCCGGCCGGGATCGGCAACGGAATACCGTACATTGTAAGTTTTGGAATATCGTAAGATTTCTAAAAAATAGGAGCTTTTGCATTAGTGGGGGGCAGCACCAGCCTCTTTCGTCAAAAATATCGTTTTAAATGTGATATCGCAAAAAAAACACCAAAAACCATTTTACAATTAATTTTAGGAAATTCTAGGCTTTTTCGATAATCTCTTACACTGTAAATAGAGCTAAAGTTTGATAAAAACAATATTAAAGCACTTACCTTCGGTTACTAAACATTTCTGGAGTTTTTTGATGGCAAAAAGCTAGCAGAGATTCTTTAGGAAAAAGTTATGGTTTATTTCCTTTTTTTCTGGAATTGTTAAGCGGGACGAAAGTAGGCATACTAGAAGAGGTTCCTTAGGAAAACCCTTTTATCTATTTGAGGACGATGATGCCGAGAACCCAAATCGTGAGAACGATGTGCACAACGTGGAACGGCGGGAGTGCGACCGTCGGAGGGGACGTCGTCATTTCCACTTTTCATATGTTACAGGTCAGTTTTCAGTGGCCGGTCAATTAAATTCTATTAAAACAGATTAAATTCGGGAAACAGCCAAAATGACGACATTCAAAATGACGACAGCCAAAATGCCGACAGCCAAAATGACGACAGCCAGAATGCCGACAGCCAAAATAGCGACAGCCAAAATGACGACAGCCAAAATGGCGACATTCAAAATGACGACATGCAAAACCTGATTTTTTTCAGCTATTATGGCTGATTTTGCATGTCGTCATTTTGAATGTCGCCATTTTGGCTGTCGTCATTTTGGCTGTCGCTATTTTGGCTGTCGGCATTCGGGCTGTCGTCATTTTGGCTGTCGGCATTTTGGCTGTCGGCATTTTGGCTGTCGTCATTCTGGCTGTCGTCATTCTGGCTGTCGTCATTTTGGCGGTCGGCATTTTGGCTGTCGTCATTTTGAATGTCGTCATTTTGGCCGGAAATCATTAAATTCGTATACATTAACGCTTCTAAAAACGTTAGTATAGCTATCAAAGCGCTATATCACCCTCTCCCGCTGCGCTCCCCACCCGGCCGCCACCTGGCCCACTATGCCCGCCCAAGGACCCTAGTGTCGCACCATGCGTATCGCTTCTGGCCTTTGGCTATGATCAATTGTTTAGTTTCTGTTCTTATCGGCTTAATCTCCGATACGTACACTATTGTGTACAACGAGATTAACATATTTTTGGAAATGGTTCGGTTAGCAGAAGCTTGCTTCTCGCCAAACAGCGTCGTCCCGGCATTGCACATACCGTCGGGAACGGCGCACACCCCTTAGTGGGGTGAACAATACCTTAAAAATTTAGCAATTTCATAAAGCCTTCAAATTCTGGAATGGGTATTAGCGGCAACATCACCAGAAAATCAATGATCAAAATCCATACCGTTTTGCCCGTCTCATTCAGATCCTCAATTCCGTCACAAAAACGCACAGCTCCGGTCCGGCGGTTCTCGCCTGAAAATCGAATGTTCGGAGTGGCAACTCCTTTTGACCTGCTCCTCCCCGTCTCTCTCTCCCCTCTCTCTCGCCCCCTGTTCAATTGCTCTCTGAGTCCTGCTCCCCGAAAAACTGGGTCTCAAAAAACGGCTGGCGCGGGGAGACAGGTTTTTCAGGGCCTTTTTTGCCGCAACCGGGCCCTTTTTGGCCCCTGACCACTCTGATTCTCTTGCCCCCTCCCAGGGCCCCTCACTCTGTTTGCTCTCCACGGGAATTGAGCCCCTCCCATCCCAGAGGGCATTTCGGATGGCAAGAAAAAGTGGCTTCCGGCCAGCTGAAGGCAGTTTTTGCCTTAGCCGGTTATTTCTGAATTTACGGATTTTCTAAACAGTCATAAATGGCTCTATTTTTGCTTTTTCCAATCTATTTCCTGATCAGAAGGTTTTTAGATTTTTTTCAGGATTTTTAGAGTGGATTTGCATTAATTTTTGGATATTTTAGCCTTTATATTTAATTAGATTAATTTTCTGGTATATCTCATCCATTAATCCCAGATCCGAAAGTTAATCTACTCTTGAAAATTGTGAATTCAATAAAATTCCAGCTGTTAGAAATCCTAGAAAAAATTTTTTTTTGACTATGCCTCAGAGTTTTTTAATCGTTTCTCCATTCCGATTCCAAATTCTGCTTGCTTTGGCGCCCCTCCTGTTTTTTTTATTCCCTGCCAACCAGGGGCGCCGGGTGTAGAATCGTAAAACGGCACCGCGAACGCGTAGTGACCGGCTTGGCAGGGGCAAAAATTGATTCCTGCCCGGCACCTGGAGGGACCCGGGGGAAGATTTGTAAAAATACGAGCGCTAATGGACTTTTTTTGAGGTTTTTAGCCCTAGCTCTTTCGCTCGCGCACTTTATGTCTCTCTCGCCTCTCTCTCACTCTCTCTCTAGCACTGCCGTTCTATTGTTCCGTTTCTGTTTCGCTTTCTCACTCGGTCTGATCTCCTGCTTTGTCGTGCCGATTCTGTCTCTTTCGAATACATATTCTGTTCTTTACACTCATGCTCGCTTGCTCTCTGGTTCTCTCACTCTCTCTCTCTCTCTCTCTCTCTCTCTCTCTCGCTCTCTCTCTCTCTCTCGAACTCTGCTGCCGCTCTTCCTCTATCTATCTGTCACTCGCTCACTCTCTCTAGCACTCGGGTTGTCTCTCTCATTCTCCCACTCACTCCAGCTTTTTCTCATTCGTTCTCTCATGCTCTCTCACTCTCTCTAGCTTTTTCAAGTTCACAGTTTGCATTTCCCTGATTTGAAAGCTCTCTTCCATTAGATAATGTACCGTCCTCCCCACAATACCTGTTACACGAATGTCGTGCAACGTGTGGTTGATGGGCAGAGACATATCGTGTACACTAATATCTACATCTGCCACCGACCCCTCCGAGATGATACCCAAGATCGACGGCGGCATTGTAGGAAAGTGGCGCCGTCCACCCGATGCCACAGTACGTATCGATACGCACTAGATTTTCCGTTAATGTATTTTGTTCAGAGTAGTGTAGCGGAATTAAAGGGATTAAGCGATTTATTTTCGGTGCGAATACTCTGTACGCTGGCGTGTAGTGGATTTAACCCTGGAATTCTGGGCCTATTTTCGATCCGTTTCATCCAGAAGCTCTAGATGTCGTATCTTGTTGATACCTAGTCATCAAAAAGGGTCGATGTCTGCCTTTGTTGCTCCCTTAAAAATTCCAAGAAATTTCAGATGTTTTCGACGGTTTCGGCGGCTCAAACTCGGATGACATTCGCCGTTTTATGCACCGAATTGGCGGGCCGAGACAGCGTAAAATATTAACTTATTTTGTTTTCCTACTCTCTCTCTCTCTCTCTCTCTCTCTCTCTCTCTCTCTCTCTCTGTCTCGCTCTCTGGCATTTTTTTCTCTCTCGGTCTTTGCTAAACTGATTTTTTAGACCTTCGTCACCACTGGCGTCGCCATCGCAAATTCGGGGACAAGGACTGGAAGGGATGCGATCATCAGTGAGTTTTGAAGCATTAAATCTGCAAAAAATCAATAATAGTAAAAATGTACGAGAAACGGCACTAACATATTTTGAACCAAATTTTCAGTTTTAACAAAGTGGACAAGGACTCGGGACGCATCAACGATGCTGTGGATGGAGGGAAAATTTTCCACAAGGTATTGTCAGCGAGAGCGAGAGAGAGAGAGAGAGAGAGAGAGAGAGAGAGTGCGGGCGAGAGAACCGAGGCAGAGAGCGCTAGAGAAAAAGACAGCGAAAAATAAAACACCCGAACTCCTTCAGGGTGGCCGCCACAACAAGATCAGTGACGTCGGCAAGGTGGTGCTCGACAAGATGCTCACCGGAGAGGACAAGAAGGTCAGAGAAATTTTTGAAAACGGTTTGTAAACCCCTTAATCAGCGGCTAAATAAGTTGCTGATGAATTTGCCCGATTCGAACGAGGTCAAAAAGCTGATTTAATTTTTTGATTTTTTGGAAGCAAATTATCGCTTTTACAAAAATTTACATTGTTTAATTTTCTCAATTTCTATTGCAGAACTAATGCTATTTTGTTTAAAAATTTTATAGAAATTGATTGTTAGGACATTTTCATGAATCTAAGTGAATTATTAGGTTTTTGAGAGCTTTTTAACGACAATTTTGGCGCAATTTCGGAATTTATCAGAAAATTTGCATACTTTAATTTTGCTATTAATACCTTAATCGCATATCAGGCTTTAGTTTTATCAAATTTACCATCAGAAAATTTATTAACATTTTTATCTCCAATTTTCAGGTTGAGCCAATGGAGCAGAAACCGGTGGTGCAAGAGGTGACCGGGGTCGAGTCGTTGGGGCTCGATTTCAACAAGTTTGTCCTAACAATTGGCCCGAATACCGTATGCCTAGAGAACGAGATCGTTGCCTGAGTGAAAAGGTGCTGTTCGAGGACCCGGAATTCCCGCCCGAGTCGAAGAGTCTGTATTATAAGACGCCGCCCCGCGGGCCCATTAAGTGGTTGAGGCCATCGGTGGGTTATTGGTTCCTTTAAAAATAGGAAAAAATTGAAAAAAACCACATTTTTGCCGGCAAGTGCATGACGGTTCCGGAAATTCGGCCTCCTTTTCCGGCGAACCCGGAAAGACCCCTCTTCAGGACATCGTCAAGGAGCCGTGCTTCCTGATCGACGGGGAGAGCCGCTTCGATGTGTGCCAGGGAGAGCTAGGCGATTGCTGGTTGCTGGCCGCCGTCGCCAACCTAACGCTACGGTAGGTGGTGTCTTGCTTTAAAGGGATCGTGTCAGCAAAAACGCCATTTTCTGGGCGAAATCCACTACATTTTTTACTTTTCTTCATTTTTTACATCCGCATTTTTAGCGACGAGCTCTTCTTCCGGGTCGTGCCGCCGGACCAGAGTTTTACCGAGAACTACGCTGGGATATTCCACTTCCGCTTTTGGCGCTACGGGAAATGGGTCGATGTTGTTATTGATGATCGGTAAGTCTCTTTCTCTCACCTCGCTTTCTCTCTCTCTCTTTCTCTCTCTCTCTCTCTCTCTCTCTCTTTCTCATTCGATCTCTCTATCCATCCCTATCTATCTCTCTCTATCTCTAGCTTTCTCCTTGTCCCGCTCGCACTTTCACTCTGCCTCTCTCACTGCACGACCCTTTTGAGCAGTAACTATCATTCTCTCACTCACTCTCTCCTCTCTCCCTCTCTCCCTCTCTCCCTCACTCCCGCTCTCTCCCGCTCTCTCTCTCTCTCTCTCTCTCTCTCTCTCTCTCTCTCTCTCTCTCTACCTTCTTAATTCCAGTCTCCCGACCATCAATGGCCAGTTGATTTACATGCGTTCGACGACACAAAACGAATTCTGGAGCGCCCTCATCGAGAAGGCGTACGCAAAGTGGGTCACCCGGGTGTTTTAATGGGATCGGCAAAGCAGAATAAAGTCCACAGACACATCGCTCGATTTCAGAATGTTCACCTGTTACGAATGCTTGGATGGGGGATTGCCGATGGACGCGCTCGAGGATTTCACAGGTCGGTAAACGAGAGAGAGAGAGAGAGAGAGAGAGAGAGAGAGAGAGAGAGAGAGCGCGGGAGCGGGAGAGATTGGAAGGGAGAAAGCCATTCATGCATATTCTTCAATCCATTTCAGGCGGTCTCACCGAGCACTTTGAACTGGCAAAGACGGAGAAGAACATCCTTTTCGCGATGATCGTTCGCGGTTTCCAGATGGGATCGTTTTTCTGTGCCAGCATTGATGTGAGTGCTCATGCTCGTGCTCAAACTTCCAAGCCTGTCTTGCTCAAAGCACTATATTCTAGGCCGACCCGAACAGCTTTGAGAACCAGCTGAGTAATGGGCTAATTATGGGCCACGCCTATAGCATTACGGCTATACAGACGGTGGGTTACTATCGACAAAGATTTTTGTAACGTGAAACACCAAAATTGATTTTTAAAGACACTTTTCGGTGAGTTGCGGATAGAATGATTATCTCATCTCGTTAAAAACTCGAATTCTGGTGGAAAAATCGATATTTTAACTTTTTTTCACAAATAATTCTTGCGCAAAAAAAACACAAAATGCCTTGTCTGGCCCCTTTAAAGCCGATATTTTAGCTGCCCAGCACCCAAGGCGACGTCTCGCTGCTTCGATTGCGGAACCCGTGGGGAAACAACAAAGTCAGTCGAAAGCTTTACTAGCTTTCATAGACTGTATTTTAAACAGAATTAATAATAAATATTTCATTCTGAAATTAATCATTTTTAAATTATAATTAATAATTAAAAACTAAATAAAAATTATAGCTATTTAATTCAAAGTACACGATTCAGGAATGGACGGGCACCTGGTCGGACAAGAGCTCCCAGTGGAGCACGGTAGATGAGGTGGAGAAGGCCAAGCTCCAGGTCGCCTTCAACGCCGACGGCGAGTTCTGGTACGGTATTTTACGGTATTAAATACAATTGACTTATTTTTATCTATTCCAAACGATCGCTTAATTTGTATTGCTCAGGACAGCCGTTTAGCCAAAATTTCGATACCTTTAAGGATGTCAATCGAGGACTTCATCGCCAACTTCGAGCAGCTCGAGATTTGCAACTTGTCGGCGGACATCGAGGGCGAGATCGAGGACATGACGGGCATTAAGCGAGACGATGGCGATAATACTGGAAGGTAGCAATTCCTTGAATTCGACGTATATTTGGGGCTTCATTTCAGTTCCTTAAAAGAATTAAGATCTTAACTTTCTATCCCTAAAAGCTATTTATGCCCTCAAATGAACCAAATTCGATGGTTACGAGGTCTTTGCATAGCATTTTACTTATTTCCCCAAAAAGCAAAAGCAAAATGATCTCGGGCGGGATCGAACCGCCGACCTTCTGTGTGTTAGACAGATGTGATAACCACTACACCACGAGACCGATGTGGGAGTGGAGGGCAGAGAGCCTTATCCGCCGCTCTTGCCCGTACTGCCTTGGCTCCAGGCATCACTTCAAAAGTCCTATTTTCGAAGAGTTTTTTGTAATCGATACCAAAAAATTTAAGGCGTTTTTCGTACGGTACAATCCAGGATAAGGGACGCAAATTAAGCAAAAAGTTATGCAAATTAACGCCTTTTCTGTAATGAATTTTTCACAGTCTTAGTTTCCAGCTAATTTGGGTATAATGACTTCGAAGATAAAAATTTTTTCGATGCAATGCGTTTTCGGTGTTCTGATTTTCGAGTTAATTTCGAGCTAATGCTTTTGAAAAAAATCTCGTTTCGTACATTTTAACGTTTTCGGCTGCATACCCCCCTTTTCAGCTGGCAAGAAGCCGACTGTGACGGTGCGTGGAGCTCGAAGGACAACACGGCCGGTGGATGCATCAATTATATCAGTAGGGGGATACGGTAATCAGGTCACCATATAAATTTTAGGCTCATTCCCGAAGAACCCGCAATTCCAGCTGTCGCTGACGAACGCCAAGAATGGGGTCGAGGGCGACGGGCAGTGCACGGTGGGTTTTTTTGAGATTTTATGGTATTTTAGCTTAGCTATTTTGGTTATTAAGTTTGACAATATTGAAATGTAGGCCAAAATACATCTAAATAACGCTGAGTATATATATTTTAGGTTGTGGTGGCTGTAATGCAAAAGAATCGGCGTGAGCTCCGGGCACAGGGCAAGGAAGACCTGCCGATCGGGTTCATTGTCTATCCAGTAAGTGAAATTGGTATATGTCGGCTACGCGGGGGGAAGGGGGGGATTTTACGCGGGGTGGGGGGACGGACTGTTGGGGCCGAGCTAACTATTTTTTTGCGTTTCTTTTTGCTACATAACAAACCTCTTAGTATATTTTTCGACGCTCTGTCGAATGGTACTAAAAAAATTTTGTAAAAATGTCGAAAATGTCGAAAACTTGATTTCTTTCTATCTCCTCCATGGAAACAACGTTTAATACTTGTTTTTGTTATAACTATTTTATTTTACATTATTTTTAGCTAAAATTAAAACTCTTAGTGTATTTTTGGATGCTCTATTGAATAGCATCTTTAAAATGTCAAAAAATAGCGCGAATTTCGAAAAACAGCCGCTTAACCCGATTGTCAAAGCTTATTTTTGTATTTGCCATATCTTTTTTATATTACACTACTTAGAGCTATAACCAATAACTCTTAGTATATTTTTCGATGCTCTGTCGAATGCCGTTGCAAAAATTCCGAGAAAATAACGAAAACATCCAAAAAGGCCTGTCTGTCCCGTCCCCCCCCCCGCGTAAAATCCCCCCCGCGTAGCCGACATATACCGTGAAATTTTTAGTATGAAGCTGCTTTTTGTGTAATTTTGGCATTTTTCGATTTTATAAAACCTTCGATATTCAAAAAACCATGAAAAACCAGAAAAACACCAAAAAGTTTTTTTCAACCATGTTTTTGCTCCTAAAACGCTTTTTTAAGTATTTTCGAGCCATTCTAAATTGGTTTCAGGTTTTGCAAGGTTTTTAATTGTAGCTTTTTTGTTTGCAGCATTTCTAGAGGTTTTCTAAAATTTCTATATAGGGATAATCCAAATTATGGAGTTAAGCTTTCCAAATGACGGGCAAACGTAAAAACGAAAAGCTAAAAAACCACTAGCTTTTGTCAAAGATCAAAAAGGTTTTGCAGATTTATATTTTTTAGAGTTTCAATTGTTGAAATTAGCTGTTCAGCTTAAATTTCAACATTTGAACTGGTAAACTCTTTCAGGCGCCAGCCGCCGGCAGCGGCGCCAAGCAGAACGAGCAATTCTTCCGCACCACCAAGTCGCTCACCAAGGTGCCCGCGTTCACCAATATGCGAGAGGTTAGTAGCGTGGTAAATCAATTAAGATGTATTAAATTTAGAAGAATTAAACCCAGTTAAACTTAAAATTAAAGGATAAATATGTCATCGAATATCTTCTTCCAGGTGACAGTGCGATTCCGTGCCCCACCCGGTGAATACCTCATCGTCCCCTCGACTTTCGAGCCGTACCAAGAAGCCGAATTCCTAATTCGTGCTTATTCCAACGGTGACCTGAAGCTCACGTGGGTTTCAAAAAACGTTTTAGCTTTGTCAGAAATCGTGAAAAATCCCGAATTCGAGACGCAAAGAATCTAAGCTAGATCGCCATCAGAGGCCAACAAAAACCACTTCTTTTGACGCTCAACCTAAAAATTCGCAAAGGATCTCTGCTAGTCTGCTACGAAAAAATCTTGCGATTTTGGTTGTATCTTCCCCTCTCACCTAGAGTTTCCTAAAAGAATTCTGCTAGCTTACCTAAACGAAAATCCTTGAAGTTCACTGATGCCTATTGCATGGCGCATGGGTTCCCAAAAAATCTCGGCTAGCCTGCCATCAAAAAATCTTGAAACTTATGGCCCTCTTCCTATCTGGTCTAGGGATTCCGAAAAACTCCAAATCTCTGCAAGCCTGCCCCGAAAAAAATCTTGATTTCCCAGAGAATCTCTGCTAGCTTAACGTCCGACAAGATTCCCAGAGAATCTCCGCTAGCCTACCTAGATGACAAGCGCATCAATCTTATTTTAATTATAAAAAGCATTAAACCCTTTCAAAACACCAGAAAATCCACGTTTTCCAGGGAGCTCCACTAAACGCCGAGCGGCTGCTCGACGATGATGATGCATAGCGCAATCCTCTCAACGCCCTCTACCGACCTGCAAACTTTGAAATTCCAGATTCCCAAATTGCTCTACCAAAAATGCCTGCTTGCCTCGTTCCGATGCGTATCCTCTATGCAACGAATCTATTTGCCTGTATTTTTTGTTTTATATTTTTCTAATTCTACCGGTTTCCGTGCCCCGTGTCGCTTTCTGAATAAAGAACTGATTTTGAAAAACGTTTAATTTTAACATGATAACTATATCGAAAATTCCTGGAGTTGGTACTTACAGTATTTGAGGTCGATTTTAAAATCCTGTACCAAGAACAAAATAGCGATTTATTATGCGAAAACTGCAAAACAAAAACCCAGGGGAATTTGTTCACTTCTTGCAGACGTAAATCGTATTCACCGGGTAGTAGGCCGGGTTGATACGTTCAGGGTTGGCAAATCCGCATTCCTTCAGTAGGGCTTCCTGCTTGTGGTTGCCCCACATCGTCCCCAAACACAGCGCGCCTAAAAAATTTTTAAATTTTTGGAGGTTTAAAAGAAATTTTTAAAACTACAAACCTTCCTTATTACTGCCGACGGGCAGACAATGGAATAGCGAACAACCGTAGTGCATCGAGCTCCGCAGCGGATCCGTCTTTTTGTCCTCCAGAACGCTTCCGGTGGCTTTCACCTCGACCATGGCGAAGATCCCGCCCGGCTTCAGCACCCGGTGGATCTCGCGGAGAGACTGGAGGTGTTCAATTTTGTTCAGTTCAGTTCAGATTTTGGTTCTTCCCCGTTATCGGGGCGGGGGAGAATTTTCTTTAGGAATTAATTTTTTATCAAACAGCGGATGTTTTTAAACTGTTTTTTTTACTATTCCTGAATGTAAAAATTTACAAAATTTTATTTTAAAAAATATTAAAAAATAGATTTTCGACCAAGATTGACCATTTTTTGATCAAAATTTCGACTTTTTGAAAAAATTCAGCGTTTACATAGTTGTAGTGTCTGTCTAAGTTTGAACCCCTCGAAACTCACCAAATCCGGCCGCGTCTGATCGTGGCACGCGTCGAAAATCGTCACAAAATCGAAAGTATTTCCCCAATCGTGCGGCAGGTGCGCCGCGTCGCATGCGATAAATGTCTAGAAATATTTGCTTTTGATTTTACAGCTTTTTTATGCTTTTATCAATATAAACCGCTTTTATCAATATAAAAGTTAGCTAGTTGGAATTCTCTGATCTTTTTGCGATTTTTATGCTCATAAAAACGGCAATTTTCATACCGAATTCTTCGTCCCGTCCGCGGCTTTTTGCTGGTTGGCCGCTTCAATCGCTTCCGGCACGAGGTCAAGCCCGTAGAACTCGGATTTTGGGTATTCGTTAGCTGGAAATTGGGGCGTAATAATGTATATAGCTTTTTTGGACGGTGATTTTTACCTTGCAAGCTTAATTTTACTTATTTTTGCTATTTACGATTTACTGAAGCTCAAAACATCAAATAAAATACCGAACAACTGCACGTGGAACCCGTTACCGCATCCGATATCCAGGCATTTCATTCCACCAGCCGCCAGCTTTGCCTAAAAAAGTTTACAACCCTGCCAGCGTCAAAATTACGGCGATTCCATGCCCGAGGTCCGGCACGACTTTTGGAATCAAATACTCGCGGTGCCGGGTTTCTAAAAAATAACCAGGGTTGAAAAGCCGCTTCGCGACTTTTCAACCCTGGCCCCGTCTGATCCGATGATATTCTGTACTTTTGCATATTTTTCACGAATCACCCATGCCGAAAAATGAAAAACATCCCCTTCTGTCCCTTTATATAGGCTTTCGCCACTTTCGCCAAATTGCCTCCTAACAAAGAGGGGACCCGGATTTTCATAAAAATGTAATTTTAATGTCGAAAATAGCACTTTTTGTAAAACCTGATAAGTGTGCAGTCGTGTCATGACCATTACGCACCTTTTGGCGTATCAAACATACCCTTAACTTCCTCCCCTATCGTGATACGACTGGAACATAATGACGGAAGTTGCATGCAAAGTGGCACACACACACACACACACACACAAACACTATTTTTTTATATATAGTAGGATTTTCGTATTTTGCTTTGTAAAATTTCTACAAAAACCCACGACTACACGCGGCCATCAGCGAGTAGAATTGCTGATAGTTTGCGTAGTCCATCCCTGGAAAAGATCTCAATCCAAAAAATATAAAAAACTAACCAAGGCGCGGGTTGTCCGCCCTGAACGCCTCCTCGAGCTGCTCCCTGACGTCGGCGAACAGCGGCACGAACGCCATGTTAGCGATCCACGAAGAGTTAAGCAGGCTCTAAAGTTTTTTCTAGGAGGTCAAGCTAAAAGTTTGCCCTTTTCTGCCCTTCGGTTGCCCAATATTTTTCCTCCTCGTCGACCTGGAAAATACCGGCGCACGCCAGACAGGCCATCCACTCGCGGACGTAGCTGGAAACTGGGCAATTGTTTATAAAACACGTTTCGCGTGGAAAAGCAATCTAAAAATTTTTAAACGCTTAAAAAGGTAAAATTTTATTCGAAAATCACCATTTTCGGGCGGAAAACCATGTTTTTTTGTATTTTTTAATAAAATTGCTTCATTTTTACCCTTAGGAATAGTAAAAATTTTTTAGGAACGCTTTAGCTGTGCTTGGTCAACTCCAAAAATTCTCTAGTTCCCGAAACTTCACCCACCGCGGTTTACAATTCGCTTTTTCGGCTACAGCTTCAGAGGTTGTGTGCTTCTCTGGGGATCCGAGGGCGCAGAATGCCTAAATTTCCCGTCAGATTTTCCAACAAGCAGCCCACTACAATTTTTTAAAGTGAAGGCAATATTTAAGAGAAGAAATTATATCGCCAACCTCAAGCAGTCCAAGCCGCCGCCCAAGCGTCAACGCCAACGACACCATTCCGCCGCTGAGGTATGTCTAAAGACGCAATCAATTTGTTTTGCTTTATAACAGCGCTACCAAGAGCATCTGGTCATACTCGCTGGCCATTGTTGGTTCGTTGTGACTGCGCAGCAAACTGGAATTTACTTTTGCGGTTGGCAGATCTTCAGGGGACGCCACAAAACCTGAGAACCCCTCGCACAGATAGCTGGAAATTGGGCAAATTCAAAAAATGCTTTTCTATTTCCGGAGGGGGGATCAAGTGAAAAGCTCTAAAAACTCGCAAAAAATAAGCCTCAAAGGGTAACGATTCGCTATATTGAGCGGCAATCTCCGGTGCATGCTTGCTTGATATGATAAGCCCACGTGGTGACCTTGGTCTGCTAGGTCGAATGGATGGCTAGAAAATCGAAATCGGGTGATGAGGTAGCAAAGTTGTACCGCTTCACTAAAGGATTTTTGGGAAATGCACGTTTGATCCGAATCTGATGTTATGATTAATGTAGCCACGGAGGGCTCCCCCATAGAGCGACGAAGCATCAAAGAACGTCCAAAGAACAGAGGAAACACAACATTCTTGAAAAACCCGACCGCCTGCCTGTTGGCCAGGGTCCGATCAATCGTTCAAAACCACGCTAGCCAAAGTCAAGTTAGCAGCACCCTGCCTGGTAGTTCGATAAAACCCAAAGTCCAAGACATATCCCAGTGTGTGAAAGAACGAATCAAAGCACAATGAGTAAACCGTATTTATCCTCGTATCAGGTAAGTGGAGCTCGGATGGCAAAAGCAGCTCTAGTCAAAATCGAAATTACAATCAGCGGGTCTATAGACTGGAACGGGCGCAATTCTCGGAAAGACATAAAGTGGAAAACACAACGATAACGATTCGAATTATGGCTTTTTTAGGGGGCACTCTACAGCGGGATGCGGCTGACGGCGGCTTCGAAGAATGCTGGAAATGGGGGTATACGCAGACAACAAAGTCGGCATACCTTTGTGATCGGTGATTTCCGGGGCAAGTACCTCTTCTCGCAGCCCGGCGTTGGAAAGTTGGCTGTACGGGTTGACGAACTCGCCCTCGGCGTTGTACATGCTGGCCTAAAAAGTGGAAAAATCGAAAGGACGCCTTGCACAAAATACCTGTTCGTCCTCGAGCGTCTGCCCAAAGTTGGTGCTCACGGGGGGCTCGTCAAGGAGCATCCTCGTCGCAAAGGCCAGCGCCTTTATCGCATCACTAAAAAAAGAAAATAATATTTGATTTCCGGGAAGTTAACGAACCCTAATGCACCAGCAGTCTCCGAGAACAAGCGGCCGAATCCGATGCCAATTGTGCGCTTCTCGTCGGCCGTCGTCACAGCCCTAAAGGCTGGGGGTTTGGAAGAACATGGGCTACGGATTTGAGGTCTCAAAAACTGGAATAAGCTCCAAGATTAACCAACATGTATTGCAGGCGAAGCCAAAAATCTAAAAAATCAAATAAAAAAACCGTCAAAAGGCATCAGCTGTGAAATAAGGTGAAAACTGCAACGAGGCGCCGACTTAATTTGAGTTTCTATCCTATTTTAGACCTGATGCACGATTTTAGCATTAATTAATTGTTTTTGAATACCTCAAATCAGGATAGATCCCAAGAGGGGACTACAACCAGGGTTCCCTTCCTCACCTGCAATCGCACAAAGCCGGGCCCACGATCTTCTCCATAATCATTCGATAGAGGCCGGGCTGCATCTGCTCCAGGACCTAAAAAGAGTAAAGAATAAAAGTAACATTCGTACCTTGACAAACGTCTCCACGTTGACCACGACAACGAACCTAGCGACAAACACCAAAAAGTGCTTGTTGAAGCGCGGTGTTTTGCTGTCCTAAAAGTCGCGAATTTGATGCGGAATAAAAGCCTAACCCGAAGCCTTTTCAAAATGTTGTTGAAGAGGATGGCGAACGGGTTGTCGATGCCCTGCAGTCGTTGCATGTGCGGCAGCAGCAGTGACGCCAACTTGAAGCCGTACAGTTCGAGGTTTTTCGAGCTGATCAGTCTGAACAAAAGAATTCAAGATTCTCAAAAAAAGAGCCGAACCTGACGTATTGGGTGACGAGCAGCGTGCTGTACGACTCGCACACCTTGTCTGGCAGCGCTTTCAGATAGATCTCGAGCAGCGACAACACGGCGGGAATATTGGCGCTCCTAAGAGGAATATGGGCTAGCTGGACTAAACTCACTTGGCCCAGAAATCCTGACGCATCAAGAAGCTCAGGAAGCCGAGGTAGGCGTCCGCAGGCGCTCCCCGAGTAACGCAATCAGCGAGCAGGACGCCTGGAAGATGTTCAGATCCTAAACGCCAAAAATACCAGTGAGCTGAAGGGCATAGGGGATCAGATCTTGCATCTCTTGGGCCAAAATCATTTCGATGATGGGAAGGAGCGACGGGTCGAGGCCACCAGCAACATGTGCGGATGCCTAAAGAGAATATTTTGAAAAACAAAACCGCGCTACCTTTTTGATGAGTACGCACATCGTCTCGAACAAAAAGTGTGTGTGGATCGGGTCGGCTGGGTTTCGAATTGTCTGTTCCACCATCGACACGAGCTTCATCGCAATCTGTCCGCCGGCCGCGGCTGTGTTAGACTAAACACAAAAAAATTAAAAAGATGCATAAACGCTTACATCCAGGATATTCACGATCCGCATCAGGGCCTTGATCAAGTAGTACGAGTTCTGCGACTTTGGATCCGCATCAAAGCAGGCCACAAGCGCTGCCAGGAACGGGGCCACCGGAACGTTGGCCGCGGAGAACAAGGGTCGCTAAAGAACTTGATCCAAGAATGAAACGAAACCTTACCCCTTCGATTCGCATCAACAACAGGCGCTCAACGGCCCAGGCAGCGTATTTGTGGACCTAACGAACGTTAAGAGACTAGAAAAGGTGTGCCAACCTGAACATGACGAGAACCAAGCAGCTTTAGCAGCAGCGGAATTGATTGAACAATGTCTTGAGGTGGTAGCTGCGTCCGGAAGGTGACCAAGAATCTAAAAAAAAAAGTAAAAAATGATAGTCATCAATCACTTGATGGCGTCGGCTTTGAGAATAGCGCTGGAGTCGATTTCCGTCGACAGCTCGCCGTACACCGCATTTTTATAGAAGTCGGCGACGTTGATCTAAATCAATGTATTTTTCAAAAAATGTCAACAAACCAGTTCGCTGGTGCTGGTGGCGCCCATTCGCTGCGTTTCCCCCTTCTTCGCCATGGCGGTGATCAGGCAGTAGACGACGTCCCGCTGCAGCCAGTTAGCTTCTCGTTTCAGCGAATCGTTGATGACCTAAAAAGCGAAACTTTAAAGAATAATCTGAGGGCCCTACCCCGGCGAGCAAATTGACCAAGGCAGCCTCGAAGGTTTTGCAAAGATTCCGGATAAGATCGATAGCGCCGCGACGTCGAGTGCCCATATCCGTGCCTAAAACAACCAGACTGAAAGCTGAAATGCAAATTATACCTTCAATGTCCTTCTTCATATACTCCAAGGGCTCATCTTCAAACAGCTCGATGTCTTCTTCACTAAAACAGATACAGTCACCACTTTCGAGCACGAAAACTACCGGAGGGTCAGATTTTTGACGGCAATATCGATGGCGATCGTTTGCAGCACGCCTTCGCCCCGGAATAGGTCTTCGTATTTTGTGCGCAGGCAGATGGCGGCGAGGAAGTCGAGTGCGGCACACACCAGCCCATCGTACCTAGAAGCCGAATAAAGTCTACATTAAAAAAAAACTACCTAGTATCGCTGCCGGTGTTGACAAGAAGCCCCCAGATTCCCTCGATTAGCGGCCGCATGAACGGGGTGATCTCCTCCTCATAGCGCTGCGCGTACAAAGTCACGATCCCGCAGATTTCGGCCTGAAATTCGATTACAAAAAATAATGCAAAAGGAAATATAAAAAAGAAAAGTAAAAAATGTAAGAGAACGCCGGCAGGTCATCTAAGTAGGGATAGTTATTACCTTTAGCTTATCGAGTGGAGTTGCTTCTCCGGCCGTGCTTCGCTGGCTGTCGACGGTCATGGCAAGCAACGCCATGAAGCCCTCCATCCACGGCTTCAGGTTATCTTCGAAATACTCGGGCAGGTCTTGAGAAGCGAGCGAGTGGTAGATACGGGCGATCAACCGCAATACCTAAAAAAAACTTAGAGGAAACTTGTGACAATCCCCTACATCAATCCAATTGCCAGCGTCGCTTGACGAAAGCTGGTCCTTCTGCGGGATAATTTCCAGCATTTTGCCGAAAAGCCCGGTGAGCGGCTCCTGGACGGCCGTCAGACACAGCTTCAATTCGCTCCACAGCGCGTTTGACTTGCTCTCGTAACTAAAACACGATAAACTGGCCTAGAGAGATACCATACCGATATTTCTCGAAGATTTGGTCCAATGTAGAAAGCGTGGCCACGATACGCTCGAAATTGTCCGAAGTCAGCTGCTCGGCCAGGATGCCGACTAGGTTGGGCCATTGCGTCGGAAAGTCTTTCTAAAGAAAGAGTTCACACAATAATTGTAATTTAACCTTGGCAATTAGAAATACGGTGTGCGAGAGCTGCTTTCGGAGGTTGCCGGAAGTGGTCAGCATGGCCTTCAGCGCCGTCTCGCGAATCGTGGCTTTTTCTTGATCAGCCAGCTCTTTCTCGGCCATGTCACCCTAAAGTTCAATGTATTTGCCAGTCATAAGTATGTACCCATTGCCGCTTCACGAAATTCTTGGCCGAGATGGCTGCGGCGATACGAATATCCTGTGATGCCGACTCCGTGACGACCAGCTCGATTAACAAAGGGCCGAAGCCTAAACGTCTCAATTTTCCCAACTTGAAAAAACAAACCTGGGACAGATTCGAGGTTAAATAGCTCGCCCTCGGCCGTTTTTCGACGATTCGGATCGGGTTGCAACGTTTCCTGGAGCACCTGCGCTAGCTTTTGCATGTCCGCAGAAGCCATTTGCTAAAATAAAAAGCTTATTGAGAGGAAAACATCAATCGGAAAGATAGCTGAACAAAGATAAGGCTTCGACAATATTTCTATGGCCTAAATGACTCACATAATGATTAAACGACTTCTAATAACAAGAAAATTTAAAGTAACGGCCAGGCGGCAGGGAATAGACTTTCGTAAGCGGTTCTATTTGGCGCCAGCCGAAAGGGCCTCTTTTCCCCCTCTTCTCTCACAGCCAAAAAAAGCCCCCACTGCTGACCAGCGTCGTGAAAAAGGGGCGCAGAAGCGAGTGGAATCAAAATTCAGGTAAATTGAAGCGCTGCGCGCCTCGAAAGGAAAGATCAGACTAAATCCAAGCAAAAAGTCAATTAAAGTGAAAAGTATAAAAATAGTAGAAAACAGAGAATGCATGAAATATTCAGACTACTCAACCAGAAAAAGAAAATTGCTCGAAGTCGGCCAAAATTGATTTGCAGAAGACGATTTGTAAAGGTCCGTGCAACAACAATGACGGAAGTTCTTGCTGGAACCTCAGGTACTGCAACGGAATCCGAAGTTTTCAATATTTTTTAGGTTTGGAAAGTTCAAATTAAATTTGAAATTGCAATATTTTCAAAAAAAATTTGGAGCTTTCGCGCTGGCGAAAATTTGGCAGCTAACGGTTCGGAATCTTCTCTCTTCCATCCTTCTGTTCTGCTTGGAAGCTTTTCGGTTTTTTCCGTAAAGCTCCTCGAACGTTCATGTCCATGTCCATCAATTTTTGGGCCATGAACCTATGGAGACAATTCTCTCTCACCTACACGTAGTTTTGTGCCTCCGCGGCTTCCTCCTTTCCATCTCCTCCAAAATAATCCATTTCTTGCAGGTTACCGTCTTGTTACCCGCACGCAGTATGGCCGCAACCGACGCCGAAGTGGAGGCAGAAGCCGCTGCTCCGGGTCAACAGGGTCCACACGCCGCAACGGAGACCGTAAGGAAACTTTTTTTGCTTTTATGGAGTACTTTCCAGGCAACGGCAGGTCCAGGCACGTCTACGCACTCGCAAGACCCCACCAACCCGGGCGGTACAGCTGAGGTATCTATCTAAGCGTCTTTCCCAAATTTTTGACTCAGGCGACGAGCAGCAGCTCTCAAAAACGGCTCGCCCCAGTCAGCGAGGCCGGCACGAATGTAAGCGATGAACCGCCGCTGAAGACGATCAAGTTAGAACAAGGTAAATGGCAGAGCACAACAAGCGATGCCTTGTCTGCTTTTTTCGCGGTTGCGCGCTGTGGCTGCAAGTGGCTTCCTGGGATTTAACGATTATGCCGTAGTCCCACTAATATAAACCCAATTTTGATCGACTAAACTTACGGAATTTTATGGCAAAATTGTTTTTTTTTACCAATTAGACGGGTTTTAGCACAGAATACGCGCTTAAAACGACTCAGAATATAGGTCAGTATTGATATAGATTTTGTTTCAGAGGAGATCGCGGTGATTGAACCGCTGCGCAGCGAGTATCCCGAGTTGCTCAAGCCCGAACCAAGCGACGAGCCGCCGGCAGCCATTCCCGATGCGAATCCGAGGCCCGCCGTCGATGCTAACCACAACGCCCCGGGAGTCTCGTCGAATCCGCCGACCCAAGTCATCTTCGTAGCTGGCCTGCCCGACAAGGTATTTACTACTCGTCCACCACTGTGTTTAGATCACCGAAGGTGACCTGGTCGACCGATTTTCGAAATTCGGGATGGTCGACTACGTGGAAATCAGCCATCTGAACAGACACCACGCTTTCGTCGAGTTTCACGTTAGACCCTTGATTTTTCGAAACAAGTTTTTAGGGTTTGGAAGGCGCCTTGGACACGTTAGAGGCGGTATCACGGGGAGAGGTGATTTCTATCCACGACAAGCCCTTGATGGTCGTTTATTCGTGAGTTTCGCGCTGTCACACTTGTATTTTTTTTGTAGGAAGATCAAAACGATTGAGCGCAAGGCCCTGGAGTCTGCGGTTCCGTCGCCGGTGCTGTCGGTGACGGTGAAAGAATTGAATGGGTACTATCTGCGCGCCGAGACGTTCCACAAGATTGCCTGCGAGTTTGGGAACATTACGAAGATAGTCGTCCTGCGCCGCAACCTATACGTTCAGGTATTTATCGCTAGTGTCCGAGGTAGATGTTTTTAGGCGCTGATCGAGTTCACGTCTATCGATGAGGCGAAAACGGCCAAGTACGCGCTGAACGGCGAAGATATCTTCAACAATTCGTGCAGCATCCGTGCCGAGTTTTTCCGGGAAAACAACGTGCGGATTCGGGATCTGGACGAGGACCATCGAGTCTACAATCCTGACGGCAGTGCGTTTTTTCTAGGAGGATATAGGTCATTTGAAAGGAGTTTTTTTTTGCAAAATTGCGCGGGGAGACGTTTTTCCTCTAAGCCCTCTAATGCCGATTAGAGTGAGGGAGCGGCAGGCCTCCTCAGGCTTTCTTGGGCCGAATTGCATTTCCGCGCCTGCCGACGCCTGGCGGAAGCCTAAGGATTTACACAGGCTTTTTATGCAATGCGTGAAAACATGTTAATCTGGTTACGGCATCTAAAACGTTGGTATCTTTTGTCGTAATAACAAATTACAAGGATGCCGAAGGTGGGAAACATATAGGCAAGATATCAGGAGAGGCAATTGCATCCCCCGCCCGTTCGAACCGACTCTTGACTTTTGTGTATCCGCGTGCTATTAACGTTTCGTGCCGTAAGGTTTGTCAAAAACAGTACCGTAACTTTGTAGAATATTCTTGGACCCAATACAGCTCTTCGACCCCCCGGAAGTAACAAAAAAATCCTTATTTGTTCGGCAAAAATTCGAATATTATGCGACTTTAAATAAAATTTCCAGATAAAGCCTGACTAATTAGAGGTCAGGCGTACTTTGCATAGCCCAGGCGATGCAAATTAAAAAAGCCTGAGGAAGCCTAGGCTTTAGCCTAGGCCTCCCTCACTCTAATGCCGATTACTGATATAGCATGCATATTAGAAGTCGAAAAACTATTCAAAAAAAAAAAACGGTGACCGTTTTGAAATTAGTCCTGATAATCGTTTTTGTGATTCGCTTGTAACACGCCTTTTCCAGCGCCCGTTCCATTGCCGATGCCATACGGGATGCAGCGAGGCCCCGTCCCCCATCCTGCTTATGAACAGGCGGCATACGCTTCGATGGGGTAACTAGTTTCGTTTTTTTATAATTTATTTTTCTTGATTCAGATACCCGCGTGATCGAGCCTACCCAGGCATGGCGAATCCAGGATTCCCGCCTCAAATGTATGGATTCTTCCCCGGCACCCCACACCCTACGGTAATTTGAAATTCCGGGAATTTGGCGCTTGCGCATTATCGGGCGGGGGCACTTTTTCCTTAGGAAAGTTTCGAAAATATCAAATTTTCTCAATTTTGAGAGGGCTTTTCACGTGGTTGCACTTAAAAGCTAGTTAAATTTACCAAAAAAATAATAAGGAGGTATCAGGTATCAGGTTGCTAGGCATTTTTTTTTCACCTAATAACAGCGAGTAACCCCCTCCATGCCCGATAATGCGAAAGCGCCTGATGTGCATTATTACAGTCGTGCGAACGTCTATGACCTATAATTTCCATTTCAGCCGGCGCCGCGCCGTGGTGGCCCTCGTCGTTCCGGCTTCGATCTGCCCGCCCCGCGCTGGCCCTAGCTACCCTGATTTTTAACCCTAAACGCGCATGTATTTTGGATGCTGTTCTCACTTGTTGTCCGTTGTTGCTGTTGATTTTTGCGACTTTACTTTTTACTTCTGCACCCCGTCCGATAAATGTTCAGTGTCGAGCCCCCGGTTAGTGGTGATGCACAGGCAGGCAGGCAGGCTGCAGCTGGACTGCAGCGAGTTTATTTCGTGACAAGCGACGCTGCACATAATGTTAACGGGTTTCTAATTATGTTTTTAATGAATAGTTCGGCGGGTTATAAGTGGTCGGGGGCGTTCAGTGGTACTGGATGCACGAGGTCGTCTGGCACGTCGTACAGTACTGAAACGAGACCAAATGTTGCGGGACGTTTGGAAGAATGGTACCGAAGAGGTGAAGGAGGAGCCGGTCGCCGAGTCGCTGAGCACCTGGTGGAGGTTTTGTTTTGTTTTATTATTGTTTTATTACCAAAACTGCATATGCCCCTGCCGACCATCGCCGACTGTATCTTGGCTCCCAATTACACTACAGGGCTGCAAAGTATACGAAAATACTCGCCAGAGCAAGACGAATATTCTGGTATACCTTACACCACTGTAGACCAACAGGGAGCCGAGATCCGAAAATTTGGGGCCGGCTGGGTGCTACCTTAGTTTTATTAAATTTTACTGTTTTTTTATGTAGCGACAGCGCGGCCTTACCGAGACCACCGATCGGTCCATGCAGAAGCTCTCGTCGATGCCGCTCGTGTCGTTGCCCATCATCTCTGCACTGCTCGGCGATCGGTCGGCCGCCCGGTGGGGAGACGCAGCTAGAAGTGTGGTTTTTTGTAAGACTACTTCATCAACCCGTCATAAATTTTAATATGGATTTTCGTGAGGATTGGGAACTTCGGGATTTTCGATAGTCGTTTTTGCAGAACAAAAAGTCATGGAAATCCTTGGCAACTTCAGAACCAAAAAAATCATATATTTATTGACCAAAAGTGGCCGTTTTTTGGCCAAAACGTCGACTTTTTGAAAATTGAGGTTTTTATAGTTTAAAAATAGTCTTATTTTATTAAAAAATACTGTGAAAATATGTCCTATTAAGTTACTAGGTATTCTAGACTTCGACAAAAAATATTTTGTTGGCAAACTCGTACCAGGTACGCTCTCCGTACACAGTTTCGCGTCGGGCGGCGGACGGAAGAGACGATCAGCTGAAAATGGGTGAGTTAAAGTGCTATCAGCGAAGCCCACTCGATGAGGCGGCCTTGCAGACGCCTTGCGTATCCACCACGTCGACGCTAAAAGTCATCGTTTTTAGCGCGCCTGTCAAGAGGCCAACCCGCCGACCCCATAGCACAACGAGCTCATCTGCTTGGCCGAGTGGGCCGCCAGAATATCTGAAAAAAGCCCATAATAGTAATAGCAGTTAGCGAATTTACCAGGCGGGATCTCGCGCGCCGTTTTCACGTCGGTCCAGGAAATTACTCGGGCCGTCGCCACGTCCAGCGACCTGCAAGGAATAAAGATTTGTTAGATCTTTACTCCCCGTTCGCATACAGGGGCGTACAGTACACCAAAATGCTCGCCAGACGATGACGAACCTTTTGGTATATCTGACAACCCTGTAGCACAACGGGGAGCCGAGATACACGCAATTTTACGCGTATTTTGAGATTGGAAAGTTCGTGAAAAATGGTTAAAATTTTCCAAGATGTTGTATTTGTCGCCAAAAAGTGTCAAAAAACATAGGCGTAAAATAGTGAAGTATGAGAAGCTCAAAAAAATGATTACCGCTTCTGAAAATTCGCAAATTTGCAAAAATGTTTGGGTCAGTTAGGCTTGAAAATGGCAAAAAAAAATTGAAATTTTGACTTTTCTAGGATTTTGACACCAGTTTTGTAAGCAAAAACTATTAAAACACAATCGAAAAGAGCCTCTTTTATGCGAAAGGTAAAGAAAGCTCATTTGCGCGCAAAACAATCTGGAAAAACCGACTCGATCTGCTCGTAGAGGCTGCCCAGAGAGTCAGCCTGAAAGCAAGAAAGTTGGAATACCTTTCAATACGAGCCTACCATTTGAGCTGAACGAGTAAAGCAATGAGCTTGTGGGCGGGCAGACGAAAAGCCGTCATTTCCGGTAGCCGCCTAGAGAATGGTATGCAAACACCGCAAAATTGAATAATTTTCATCAACAGCTAATTTCCATAGCTGTCAAATCATTTAAATAGGTTCTTCGGCGAAAATCCCCCATCATTAGCACGCGCATCACTTGCTAGAAAATGGACTCCCCGCGTCAGCCGCTCCTTTCCAAGTGTGAGTTTCTTGCTTCGAGTTATATTTTTTGTTGGTTTTGCAGCTTCCGAGCAGCCGGCCGCCGACAAGAGCACGAAGAGCATGGCCAGCCCGGCGGCTCAGAAAAGCGCCACCAAGTCGGTCGCCTTCGACAAGTCGACCAAATCGGCCGCCAAGGACGTGAGGGTTTTTTGTTGGCTTTTCCGACGGTATTCCTCTGATAGCGGGGGGGCCCTCCCCCCCGCTCTCAGTCCAGTACCTTTTCCCCTGACAATTTCACCTTCAGACGTCGGAGAAGAGCCAAAAGAGCCAGAAAAGCCAGAAGAGCACGCTGAGCAAGGCGGGCGACGCGAACAAGTCGCAGACGAGGAGCGTCGCCGACAAGAGCCAGAAGAAGAGCGTCCGCCTTGTCGACCCGAACGCCAAAGACGGCGATGGGCCCAGGCGCAAGGGGCCCAAGCGCGAGGACCCGGCCATTTACCACTGGACCCCATCGTATACTGGTGAGTATTGGTGTGGAAAAAATCACGCATAAAAATACTATGAAATCAAGAGTTTTGGTCAAATTTCGAGCCTTTTTCAACCATAAAACGTTAAATTTGCTAAATTTTCACTTCGAAAACGCGTTTACCTATATTTTTTTCTAGCCGCCATGATCTGCTACCTGCTCACGCTGTACGTCATCATCTTCGTGTACATGCTGATCGTGATGGTGCCCACCTACCACCTCTACAAAGACGCGCCCACGCACACCGGCTACGGCTCGTTCATCGGCGTCGTCCCGGGTATGACCTACTAGTCCACTGAGTGAGATTACATACTTTTCAGCCGTCTACATCGAGCCCAACCCGGACGCGGTCATCGAGAAGGCCGGCGGCGAGCTGAAGTACAACACGGACAACTTTGCGTCGTACTCGGCGTTGATGCGCCAGATGCACTCCTTTGCCCAGAGTAGGAATGCGTAGTTTTTCGCATTTTAACCGGAATCAAGGGTACAATGGGACGCGCAAAGCGTGCTCCCGCGCACGCATGGCCCAACTGGACGGGAGGTGAGATTTTGATACTATTCCCTGGCAGCTCATTCCGGGATGATTTTGGTTCTTATTCCTTAGCGGGGGCATCGCTTCCTTTATTCATCCTGACTACCAGCATAGCAAAAATACGCTTTTCTATGGCGCTTTTAGCATTTTGACGACTGGAAGTTCGTAAAAACATTTTAACCAACTTAAAACTATCAAATTTTGATATTTTTTACGTTTTTCACCCAAATTCAAAAAAATGTTGGGCATTTCGCTAATTTTTTATTTCTAAAAAATCGAGTAAAACGCTATAAAATGCTGCCTATCTCGGTAGTCGGCCGTATGATACGATTGGGGGAAGAATTGCCCCCCCCCCCGCTAAAAATACAGAACCGGATTCTAATATCCTCGCCCTACCCATGTTATTTGCCTAATCTAGGTTCACCAACGAGACGTGCCCGGCCGTCGACCCCAACGAGAAAAACCCGTACCTGGGGCTCGGGATCTGCGAGCTGACGGAGTGGGACATCCAGTCCAATTTTTACCCGTTCCTAGGTTCAACATTGGGCGCGAGGACTACCACTTTGGCTGGGAGTACGGCACCCCCTGCCTGGCCGTCTCTTTCACAAAGGTATGATGTTTTCGCTCAAAAATCTTGTTTACCATCTTTTTTAGTCCCAACTCACCTTTCTAGATTCTTGGCGTTTACCCGGACGACCTGACCCAGTTCTACTTTGACAGGAAGGCGGCGCCTAACAGTTCTGATTACCCGTCGTCAATCCAGATTGTACGTCCTGGCGTTGGGTGCCCAAACCGCCCATTTTCTAGGACCACATCCGCTACGTGGAGCAGACGCAGGAGTACACCCTGGCAAACGCCATCGAGATTCTGGAGCATCGCTGTGCCAGTGAGTTGTCGTGAGCTGAATTAAGCCAAAAGCTGTGCTAGTTGACAGCGAATTCAAAAAAAATCGCCTGGCTCTGCAAAAGCGACCGTATTCCCTCAAATATAATGCTATTTTGACAAAAATATCATACCCGACTTTGAGGCAACAACACGCAATACACCATCGAAGATTGCTGCGAGTGGTACCGCTTCAACGTCGAGTGCTGGGCTGATGACGCCAAGGTGGCTACTAAACCGCAGATTTGCCTACCGCGGCCCGTCAAATCGCATAAAAAAAACTTATAGACGCCCCTATTTCTTCCAGGTCGTCATCAGGCAATACCCGGTACTTGGCGCCTCGCTTTGCCCGCTGCCATACTGGAATCAGACCGGCCATCAGCACCCCTACGTCACGCTGCAGCTCGAGAATATGCCCTCAAACAAGGAGGTTAGTGTCGGCGCCCCTTTCTGTCGCAACCACCAACCTAGGTGAACATCTACTGCAAATCCAAGGCTCGCGAGTGGCAACAGTTCCCGAACGATGAGGATAACGTCAAGCGCATCACCATCACGCTGCAGGCGTTCAACCGCGAGAAGCCGGCCCCGCCGCCGAAGGCGCACTGGGGTCCCCAGCCCACGAAGGCCACCGTCGTGATTCCGGCGGAGAATGAAGGTGGATAAGGGCGTGCAGATTCCCCTTTCTCTGCCTGCTTTAAAAAAACGGCTAAACTCCAGATACCCCCCAACCGACCCCCACCTACCGTATCTCCGCTCCCTGTTCATCTACATGTGTGTAAAGTATACCAAAATACTCGCCAGAGCAAGACGAACATTTTGCTATATTTTACACACCTGAAGATGAACAGGGAGCCGAGTTACAAACGCTCGGGTGCCGGCTGACGGGGGGGAAACTGCCCTCTAACAAAAAAAAACATTAAACCTTCAGGCAACTCCACCATATCGCCCGCCACCACCATCGCCCCAGAGCAAAAGAAGCAGCAGCCCTAGTCGACGACGCCGCGCCCTAAGGGCTACCAACCTGCACATCGAACCAACCCACTGACACCCCGACCCAACCCCCCGCTCACTCGTTTTGCGTTTTTGTTTCGCTGACAATTCTCTTTTTCGCGTTTGAGTTGGGAATAAAGTCTTCGGAGGGGCACTCCCGTGCAGATTGCCATGCCGCAGAAAGGCGCGTTAGTGGTTTATTCAATGAAATTTGCGGAGCATATCAGGGCGGGAATAAATCAAAATGAGCAAAGTTGGGAAAATGGGTGCTAATGCAATTAGGGGGGGCAGTCCGAAATTGGTAGCGGGGTTACGAGAGGCCCCGGCCAAAGCTACTTGGTTTTCAGTTTAAGCCTAGGCTTCACGTAGCTTTAACTATGCCTAGCTTAGCTTAAGCCTAAGCCCAAGCTAAGCTTATCTTGAGCTTCTACTTGCTTTACGAGGTCAAAAAAAGGACCAATGAGGGGTTAGCTTAGAGCTAAGCTTAGCCTGGCTCAAGCTCAGCACAGGCTTTGTTTGCACGAAGGTAAGCCTAGGCTTAGCTTAGTTTTCCAGAGGCCGAGCTTAAAAAAAGGCAGACAGTCTTGTAGTCAAAATCCTGACTGTAATCCGACGTCTAGTCATTGGGTGTGTGGGTGAAAAGACGTGAACATTTGCTCTGTACCTTTGCGCGAATGATGCGGCGACGCTGGCTCGTGTTTGTTAGTTGTGCCTGATTATCTCCAACGAACATTTATTCGACCACAGGCGCCCAATTAACAAAACCGCGTAGTTTTTTTACAAAGACAAGTGGACGATAAGGAAATGGGCAAGGTGGTGGCTTGACGACTTTCAGTTGCAGCTGGCCATATCCTGCAGCTGATCGAATTGGTACTCCGAGCACGGCGGCATGTTCAGCGGGGCAAAGGCGCGGCCGCCCACCTAGAAAGGGATGTTGCGAAAGTGAAGTACGAAGCTACCTGAGCCTGGATGTCGTTGACGGCCTGTCCCATCGTGGCCATGTTGAAGACGGGCGCTTGTTGCTGCTGAACTTGCTGCGCAGCAGCCATGGCGGCAGCCTCAGCTTCTTGGATCTCGGCAGTCACGGCCGAGTCGATGACGTTCGGCTGGTAGTTGCCAAAGTGGTAGTTCGAGGTGGCGTCGCGAGCCTTAAAATTCAGTTCAAATTAAATTAATTTAGATAATTACCGCTTGCTGGTAGTAGGCGGGCACCATGCCGGTGTGGTAGGCAGCGATCATGTCATTCGGGACACCACCGACGTACGTCGACATGCCGAGGGCCGGGCGGAAAGCAGGGCGAGCCGGGGCAACGTGCTGCTGCGGTGGCGGGGCGGCAAAGTGAACTTTCTGGTTGGCCTCGTCCTGAAAATTGAGGTTGCCAGTAGATACTGCATGATTACGCGGTTCTCCTGCTCGGCAATGACTGGCTGCTGAACGGCTTGAGCACGGGCCATCTGAGCCGATGGAAGCTGGGTGGTCTCCATCGTCGACTGGGCCGAAGGGGTGGCCACGGGCCCAGTGATCAGAGGCTGCTGACGCTCGCCGGGCGGAGCATAAACTAATTCCGCAATTTTAGGCAGCAAAACTCTTGCTTACGCGACTTCTTCGGGCCGACCGGGGCGGCAGCCGGGGCGCGGGCATAGTTCTCCTCCAGCTGCTGGAAGGCGTACGCCGAGGGCTCGTAGGCGAACGGGGCCGGCTCGCGCTTGATGGGCACATTATGCTGCTGCTCCACCGGCCTGGCAGCAACCGGGGTGACAGCGGGGCTGTACTGCTTGTACGGGCAGTTCGCGTCGTCATGCTGGTGTTCCGGCTAAAAGCTACCTTTAGAAAGCGATTATTGACTGAAGCTGATCAGCAACAAAACCCACAACGGACTGCGGGTACGGGGTGGGAATGTGCTGGGTGGCGGGCGTGGGCGGAGGGGCCATCATCGGCTGGTTGTAGTCGAGGTAGTAGGCGGCGGGGAGCACGGCGCCACGGGCGTACGACGAGTAGACGGGGGTCGGCTCGACAGCCGGCTTCGGCGGCTGGGGTGCCGGTTGCTGTTGCTGAAGCTTCGACGCAGCCACGGGGATGGCCGTCTTTGGCGCAGGGCTTGGGGCGGGCGCCTGAGAAATATGAATTTTGTTTTAGCAAGACACCATCATTGAATGGCCCTGGATACTCACCTCCTCGACGGCGTTCAGCTGGGCGGCCTGCTGCGCGTACATGCCGGGGCAGTAGCTCGACGGGATGTAGCGGGCAGACATCGTCGGCTCGAGTGTCAAATGATTTTCTTGGTAACGGTTCGTTTTCTTTTATACTCGGGGACGGGCAGATCTACTTCCGGTTTTGCTGTCGGTAGATGCAAATTACTTTTCGTGTCATTGCTAGCACAACCGCCGACTTTGATTTCGGCTGCTTTGTTTTGCAAAACTCGTATAGTTCTAAACGTGTTTATTTATTCCTAACGGAGAATTATTTCTTAGCAATGTAGACATTATTGACGGAGAGATAATCCGGGGTGAGCGTGTCGACGGAGGAGAAGCCGGATTGCTTCATCAGATTCTGCGCGCGCTCCTGGCCCCACATTGCCCCAAGGCAGAGCGCATCTAAAAGAAGCGTTTCGGGGGTTGAGTTGATGGCTTTCAAAACTTATAAAGTAATGAATCTTTTTTTACATATGAAAGATCGGCTTGCTGACCTGGCAGATTGCTTCCGACCGGCAGACAATGGAACATCGAACAACCGTAGAACACGGATGACAACAGGGGGTTGGCGGCTTTATCCTGCAGAAATATAGATATTTCACGTTTGTGACGTTTTATTAATTTCTAAATTTGTCTAAAGAACCAACCTTTGCAACGTGACTCGTGCCCTTGATTTCGATCATGGCGAACAGGCCGCCCGGTTTCAGGACACGATGGATTTCTTTTAGGCACTGCAATTGGAGGTTTTATGAATTTTTTTTCTTAGAAGTTTTTATCATTCTAGGCTGGTTTTCGCTTTTTGGAGCCAGGGAAATAGGTTTCCAGCGCGCAGAACACATTTTTTCAAACCTATCCGGATAGTGGCAGGTTAGGGGCATAAATCGTTGATCTAATTAGCGTTGGACCCTAAAAAAAGTCCAGAGGGACCAATGATCAAGAATGAAATCTTGGTTAGAAAAGGTTAAGGGACTATAAAGTTAATAATCGCTAGTTTTTCGGGTAAAATCTGAAGTCTCACCAGATCGGGCCTCGTCTGATCGTGGCACGCGTCGAAGATCGTCACAAAATCGAAGCTGTCCGCCCAGTTTTCCGGCATGGAGGCGGCGTTGCATTGAATGTATTCCTACAAATAAGGTAAATATTAAATCAATGAAGCAATTAAATAGGTTTGAAAATTAAATAAAAAATAATAAATTAAAGTTTGATATTTTTAACAGCTTACAGCATTTTCCGTCTTTTCATCGTGCTTTCGCTTGTTGGCCGTCTCGATGGCCGACGCCGTCAGGTCGAGGCCGATGAAATGGCTTTTCGGGTAGGCTTTTGCTGAATTTGCCATTTTTGATGAGCAAGCTAAGCGCGCTTGGTAGTGATATAAAATTTGTACTCTTGCATTATCGGGGGGGGGGGGCGATTTTTTGTTGTTTGAGCCTAAAAATGTCTTGTAACTGGTTTAATCGTGTTTTAGGAAAGTTTAACTATATTGCAACTCGATAAAATTTGTCTAGAAAACCTTAAAAAAATCTACGGGTCACGTTTGCAAAATTTTTGGAAATAATCGAACTTGTGGTCAAAAGTCGGCCATTTCTCGTCGAAAAATTTATTTTTTGTAAAGTTGCACGTTTCAGATTAGTAAAAAAACCATTTAGAAAAGGTTTCACTATTTATATTCGCAAAATTAGATCCCCAGAAGAAAAAAGTTGGTCTCCCCCCGATAATGCAACAGAACCATAAAATTATGTTTAACTGTAGGGTTAACGGTGTCTTTTTTTTTAAATGCCTACCCAGCATTTGCACGTGGAACCCATTGCCGCAGCCGACATCCAAACATTTCATGTTGCCAGCGACGAGCTTTTCCTAAAGTCAAGATTTCGGAAATTTACGCAAAAAACGCACGACAATGCCGTGGCCAATCTCGGGGAGCAGCTTCGGGATCACCACCTTGTCGTGGGCGTTGGCTGTAAAATGGAGTTGAAAACCGGAACCAGGAATTCTCACTGCTTATCTGTGCCATCAACTCGTAGAACGTGGAGAAATCGCTGTAATCCATGCCTGAAATTCGTGGTAAAATCACGAAATTAAATAACGGCAGTTTAAACGTACAAATGTTCAACATAACTTCATGAAACTCTGATTTCATTTAGGTATCAAATTAGCCTACCCAGTCTCGGGTTGCTGGCATCGAACGCCTCTTGAAGCTTCTCCCGTCCATCGGAAAACAGCGGAATCATCGAGAACATTGGCACGAGGGCGTTGCCTTGTAGCGACTATAAAGCGTAATTTTAACAGATGTTTATGGCTTTAAATGGTTAACTTTGGTTCTGTTGCATTATCGGGGGGGAGGAGGGGCGAGCCTTTTTGTATAAGTTTAGAAATGTCTAATAATTTTATAGCAAGTGTTTTAATCGTGTTTTTAATAAAATTTAACTAGATGTCAACTAGCAACTTTTGAAAAGTCGAAATTGTAGTAAAAAATCGAAATTTTGGTCTAAAAATCGATATTTTTTATACTTTTTTAATAAAGTTTTGTAAAGTTTACACGTTGAGGAATAGTTAAAACCGGTTAGAAAAACTCCCATTATTTATATTTCTGGAAAATTAGCTCCTAAGAAATCAACAGGGTTCACCCCCCGATATTACGAAAGAACCGGCGTTTTTCATGAGCATTTACATACTTCAAAATCGAGATTTTTATACCTTTTTCTGGTCCTCGGTCAGCCAATATTTCTCCTCGTCATCAACCTGGAAAATTCCGGCGCACGCCAAGCACGCGCACCACTCGCGCACGTATCTGGAAAAAAAAGCAAAGTTGTTCTGGTTTTCTCGTCAAATATCCAATTCTTAGAAAAGGTCGCTTACCTCGGCTTGCAATTGGCTTTCTGGGCCAATTCTTCAGGAGAGACATGGTGGGCGTCGGACGAGATTTCGAAAAGCACCTGAAAAAATTAATTTTAAAAAATCAGCGCCGATTTCACCTCAAACAATCCAAGTTTCCGGCCGAGGGCTATTGCCAAGCTTGTCGTTCCGCCCGTCAGGTAATTCTGGAAATCAGTTTACTGAAGTTTAACTCGAATTCCAAAATTTGAAATTCCCAGCTGGATAAGCTAAGTATTTCATTAGCTTTTTAGTAAAATGGAACCATATTTCAATGCGAAAAACTATCTTGTGGACTTGGTTTCTGTAAAAATGTTACACCTTATCCAAAAACTGGCATAAATCGACGTTTTTCGTGCCTTCTTTAATAGAAATTGTAAAGTTGTTATTTTAGGGGTTGGTAAAAAGTATTTAAGCATTAAAAGGTATTTTAACAGATTTCTTAAAGTAAAATTTACCTATGCTTAAAATGGGAGCGATTATCGCAAAACAAGTAAAAACTTTCGAGCATTTGAAGGATTCTGCGTGAAGAATTCATATGAATCAAATTTTCCGTATTATTCTCAAGATTTCTAAAGTTTTTACGCTAGGAATTAATAAAAAAGAGTATAACAATAGGCTAGTGATTTTCCGGAAAAGTGAAGTTCAGCTAGTGAATAAGCTTCGTTGCTCTATATTAGCCATCGCGAGAGCAGCGTATTTTTAAAGCAAGAATTTCATACTAAAAATTCAGAATGTATACCAGTAGCAGCTTGTCGTATTCGGTGGTCATGGTTGTTGTCTTCTCTGGAGCACGTGTAAAAATAGGAAATGTGTGAGAGCCAGGTAGTATCAAGACGGAAATCGGGGGCGGGCTTGTCGCTGAAATGATAAGCGTCGCGGCAGGAAAACATCATTTGAACTTGGGGGCATTGGGGTGGAGTTTCTAGCGGCAGATGAGCGATTCTTGGGATTTAGGGATTATCAACATTAATGGACGATAATTGAATCAGGTACGGAACGAAAAGTCATACATATAAATTCAAAAAAATCGCAATCGAAAGCCTAGATCTGATACCTTTCCGAAAAGCTACCGAATTCTACAAACTACAAAACAAAATAATAGGCCTAAAAGCAAAAAATAAAGCCTAGAAATGGTATTTTTGTAGTTATATCTGGTTGGTTATACTAGCAGTGACTGAATAGGAAGTAATTTTGTAGTGTTTAAGAAAAATAAACCAATATTGTAACTAGAAAAACTATCTAAAAACTTTTACAAAGTTTAGAAAGTCGAAATTTGGGTACAAAAATCGACATTTTCTGTACTTTTTAAGAAACGCTTATAAAGTTTTTCGGTTTAAGGTTAGTAAAAAATAGTTTAGAAACAAACAAGAAAATGTTGGAAAAACTGGATCCTAAGCAAATTGGTCCCCCCGATAATGCGAAAAAACCAAAAAATCAAATAATGCTAACCCCATTTTTTGGGTGACGCGATTAGCCGGTGGTCAGACAGGGTGCCTTTTCTACCCGCCAGCCTATTTGTTTTTTGTGCTAAAATTCGAGCCCCCCCCGTAGATGGCCTCGTCCTATTCTACAGGCTCCCCATCGAGCGGGGCCATGGGTTGGGCCCTTTGTGGGCCCTTTTCACTGTTGACACAGTGCGGGATGGTGCCCCCTCAGGCCGAGATTCCTCTATTTTCCAGTTGACAGTCACAGAGTCCGATCTCTCCTCCTCTCCTTCTTCTCTATGTTGACCCTCACAAAACATTGAGTCGCCCAAAGTAAAAATCCGCTCTTTTTACGGTGTGCACAAAGCGGCCAGTTAGGGGCCTCAGGGGATGGTGGCTGAACTTGGGATTACGCTGGAATAACCCGGGGTGTGGACCATTTTACTTATGCGCGGTGTCCCAAAAAGACGACCTCTAGCAGTATATAGGGATGTCGGTATACTGGAAATTTTGATGTTTTTGTTAGATTTAGTATGTCTTTAATTATCTGTTTTTGCGAGCTATTACCCTCTCTCCCTCTCTCTTGCTCTCTCTCTCGCGCTCTCTCTCGCTCTCTCTTTCTCTAGCTTTCCTCTCGCAATCTCTCTCTCTCTCTCTCTCCCGCTTTCTCTCGCTATCTCTCTCTCCTCTCTCGATCTCTCGCTCTCGCTCTCTCGCTTTCTCTCGCTATCTCTCTCTCTCTCTCTCTCTCTCTCTCTCTCACTCACTCACACACTCACTTTAGCTCTCACTCGCTCTACCCCTTTTTTTGAGGTACCCCCTGGTTCAAAGTTCCACTTTCTTACAGCTTATTCGCGGGTGTGCGGGTGGGTGTGGGGTATTTGTGATTAGAACTGGTCTCTGATACCAGATCAACACCACCCACTTCCTCCCCTATTCCGCTCCACCCTTCAAATCCGGCCACCTGCACCCTTTTGCAGTCGACCCCGGGGTTTTCCGGTTGGTTGGTGCCCTGGGACTATGATTCGAACCCACCGGCCTATCATATTTCTTTCCGTTTTAAAGGGAACAGCAAGGCAGAAAACGACCCTTGCTTTTTCGTATTTTTAAAATTAAGAATATGCTACCGTATCCGGAAGGGGCACCAAATTTACTTTTTATATCTTTTTAGAATCTGCACACTTTTCAATGAAAACCCCTTTATCACACAAGCCAAAAAGTATATTTACTAATATAGAGCATTAGGTTGCTTTCAAGATGTCGTATAGATCTTGTCGAAATTCCATGATGTCGAAATTCATATTGTCAAAATTCATAATGTCGAAAGTTGCATAAGGTAACGTCCCGGAAAACCCCGGTTTTCTGGATTTCGACATTACGGAATTTCGATATTATGAAATTTCGGCATTATGACTTTTGGCATATGAATCCGAAATCTCCAAAATAAGCCACGGAAATGTAATTTTTTACCCTCGCCAACCTCTTCTGCCCGACCAAAACTAGTCTCGAGAAGCGGCGACTCGTTGGACATGTCGCCCCCCCCGTCATCCAATTGACCGTTTGGAGTAGTGGATGGGAGGGATGGTATGTCCATTCGTCAGTCAGTCAGTCGCGTACATAGGTGTGAAGAGGACATGTCCCCCCTACCACGCCTACCCTACCGTTCGCTTTCCCCGGCATCTTGAATGCCCTTGCCGTCGTCGTTGCCCTGTCCCCACTAGAAGTCACTGTTTGTCCGGCCGTGAATGTGCCAAGATCGTCTTTTCCATCCCATTCCGGCATACACCAATACACAGAGGCAGCCCTTGTCACTTCCCGGTACCTTCAAGATGTTGCTTGGATAGCTACAGTAGGTCGTTAAAGGGACATTGGAGCAGGCTTTAGCTAGGCAAAACCTTTGAAAATGTATAATCGTTACAACAACTTTTCTCTTTCTCTCTCACTCGTTCTATCTCTCTCTCTCTCTCTCTCTCTCTCTCTCTCTCTCTCTCTCTCTCGCTCGTTGGCACCAAGAAGCCTTGCGCCTTGTAATCCCTAAAACGGAGAATTGTCTGAATTTCAAAGATTTTCGGACTCTCCTTTCGAAAATCCACTATTGCAAACCGTCCCGGCTGCACACCCCCGCCGATAAAAGATCAAAATCTATTTCCGCTTCAACCACACTCTACCAACCCCTTTCAAACATTTTCAAAATTGCCGCTGACCCCTCCAGCCGATTGAAATGGACGGCTTTTCTGAACCCACCACTGCCCAGCCAACTCGACACCCCCAAAAAACGGAGCTGTTTATTTGGCTTTTGCGCGAAAAAACAGCACGGCGGGTCCTGAATTTGGTGGAAAGCAACTTTGTGCAAGCAGTGCCAGAGCTGTTTTTGGACCCCTAAAATTACTTGTGCTAATTTTTGCGGAGATGTCGCTGTGCGAGCATATTGTAAGTTTTATAGTCTCGGCATTTAATTTCTCTACAAAAAAAGATTGTAATCACAGATTGGATCTACTCGCCCTAGCTTTTTATAGCAAAGAAAATTTCTAATTTGGAGTAGAATTCTAGGAATTGAGAAAAACCCAGAAGCCCAACAATTTTTAAATAAAATTTTGGTCGAAAATCGGCCCTTTTTGGACGAAAAATATTTTTTTAATAAAGATTTCCGATATTTTTTGTATTTACTTGTCAATTTTTGTGAATTTTTTACATCCCATATTTAGATCAGAAAAATAAAACAGAAAAGTAAAAAAAAGCAAGAAAGCACGAAAAAGCAAGTTGGTCCCCCCCCCGATAATGCGAAAGAACCCAAAAATCCACAAAAACTTAATTTTATTCAGCAGCAAAATCAAGACGTGCTTGGACCGGGAATTGGATTTTTTTTTATCGTCTCAATTTTCGTTAAAAATTTTAATAGCAAAATCGATACGCTTTTCCCCGCCCCTGATTCTGATCAGGCGATACATACTTTATTTTTCCATACCCTCACCCTTCAGTGAATTGGGTACAATGAGAAACGGCACAGGTCCCTCGCCCCAGCAGCCCTATTGGTTTAGCTGTACGCGGCTTTCCGCATGCGCCCCCCTTCTCTGGTCGCCTATTTTGGGGCGGAAAGGGGCTTTGTGTGTGTGCTGCTTCGGGAAGTCAACACCAACGCCGACGACGGCCCGTCGGCATCACCATGTTCGGCGGCGTCTTCGGGGCATTTTTCGATGAACGCTCGATTCACTCAAATTCCGTTGAAATTTTCCAAAAATATCTTCTTCTAAAAGATTTTTGCTTAAAATCAGGGTCATTTAACATTTGCCTTGCGCGCATCATCCTAACAAGCGCCACGCGCGAGAGGTCGCGTTGCGTGTCGCGGCCGGGGCAAAAGTTCGCTGGTCTTTTTTAGCGAGTTCTTTTGTATTGCCTACTTTTATGAACGCATGCAAGACCTCTGCTAGGTTGCCTGGTACTGGACTATTAGCGGGGGAACTAATTATTTCCAGTAGTCCTGGAGGGTCCCATAAAAAATATAGACCATGTTTATAGCATTTTACGCAGCTTCTCGATAAAAAGCTGCCAAAAATTATTTCAATTTCGGAAAAATTTTTGATTTTTGGTCAAAAATGTCTGAAAAATGACAAAATCAAAGTATTTTTTTTTTGTTGTTTTCTAGCAGTAAAAAACCAGGAAAAATACAACTTCCCTAATAGTTACCGATTTTACCAAAAAGTACGGCCGGGCCCAGTACTGTATAGCAGAGGCCATTTAGGACCAGACTTATCCTGGCGCATTTGAGAACCGCCTCCCCATTTTCCGGATACATGATGTGTCCGTCAAAAAGTATAATCTTCCTAATTCCCAAGCTAAACCCAAAAAAAACACCTGAAACCATTGGCCATCCCCGTGTTGCCGTTTTTTTTTTGCAACCACCACCCCCGACGCCCCAGTCGGCCCCGATGTACCGCGAGCTGTTTGCGGACATTCCGTCGGGAACCGGCCGAACGGCTAGTCTAGGCTTTCTTCAAGAGCGTTGGCCATTTTTGGCGCGGCGCGTGGGTGTGGGCTGTGCTGCGAAGATACAATGAAGCTGGGGAAAAGCTTACAGAAACGTGGCTAGAAGCCGCGAATTCAAGAATTTGACTCGCCTACGCCTTCAATCAGTTACGCTTTCAGTCTCCAAATATACGAGAAAATATGTTTTTTTTTGCCTACATTCCGATAATTGACACCAGATCCCTGACCTTTCCACCCAGCCTGAAACTTAGAACTTCAAAATGGGGTCCGAAAAGCAATATTTACGGGGGGCAATTGGCCAGAACCGAGTAATAACAACAAAATTCTGTCGGAGTTTCCGAAATTTCACAATGCCGTGTTGCTCTGTAAGTCTTATCGCCCTTCAGCTCGTTAAAAATGACGTCAGACTTGCAAACTTATAGGATACGGTATTTTCCAGAAAATGCTGATGTGTGCGGGGCTCTGCTTCAAACAGATCGACGAGAAGCTGCACCAGATGGAGATCAACAATAATGAGTGGGTTTTCGTCTGTATCAGATTTTTTTAAACAACACTAATTTTTAAATGTGGAAAGAAACAGACATAAACAAACAGTATCGTCCACGGCTCCCCCTAGCAAAACACTACGAGACCATCCACCGCACACCGGTACCCCGCGCTTTCACCGGGCCCCGTGAGCTGGACCCGATTAGGGAAAAGCGGAAACTCTGATCGGGCGAAAAACAACTCGATTAGAAATCCCGTTCCAAATGCCCAACTGCTAAATACTCGAATCCCTCTTCTACGCGATGAGTCGAAACGGCTGGTCCACCACCTCGACGCCGGGCAGGTTGAAACGCCTGCCATTCCCTAGCATTTCGGTTTTTTAGTGCCCGACCGGTGTACGGGGCCCAGTATCCCCCACTGCAGAGCATCTCGGGCAGCCCGGTAAAAAGTAGCCCGATTACCAAGCCGAGCCCGCACAACAAGTTTGCCGACTATGAGAATAGGTGTGTTGGCAAATCGGGCCCTTTTCAAGTTCGGAGGAGGCGCCGCGCTTTCGAGAATCTTTAAGCCAGTTTTTGGCTTAATTTATGCTAGGGATCCGTTTAATTTGGGGGGTTATTTTTAGGCTTCTTCCAATTACTCAAGCATAACACTCGTGTCGCCAAGGTCTTAGCCTAGGCTTTGAAGCAACTGGAATAATTTCGGAAAGCTGATTTTTTTTTCCGTAAAAACAGAGAAAACATTTAGGTACTGCTGACCAGTATAACTCGCTTTTTTCAGCGTATCAGATGCGTGGGACTCGCGCGTGGTGCTGGACCAGGAGCAGCCTGTGCCAGCGCGGCAGCCGTCCTTGCCGCACATGCCGCTTCCCGGGATGATACGATCATGCCGCCCGTCAGCGCTGCACCGACGAAGAACAGCAAGACGCAAGCTATGCAACGGCTGGCCATTCAGAAAGGTTTGTTTTGTAATTTTAAATGATGATTGAGGCTTTACAGATAATTTAAGGCTATTTTATTGTTTTTTAGAGCCCCTGCCATCGGCCTCAACACCCACACAACACAATCAAGTAACGCCCTCGCCAATTTACCCAAGACTCCCCGAGATTTCCACTGATGACAAGCTGCATCCGGATAAAGGTGTGTTTTTACAAGGGCTGGCTCGCTGCTCTAATTTTGCAGAAATTTCAGTTGATATTTCTAATTCAACTTATTTTTTTTCAGGCAAGGATCGCGATGCCGCGCGATTCGAAAGACTACGGAAAGTTCTGGCGGCCCGGAAGAACAGCAATGGCGGCCGAGCCGGTTCACCACCCGGAGAAATTGGTGAGCTATTTTTTAACATAGGCTGAGGCTTTTCGGTACTTATCAAGTTGGGGGGGGGGCCACTTTGGGTACCTTATAGGGGTCACTTTTTATCGCTTTTTCGAGTCTATCTGGGGTAGTTTTTTACGCTGAGTGCAACGAAAGTAGCAACAGCATGCGAAACCGTCGGGTTTATCCAGAAAAAAAACAGTGTGAAAATTTATTAATAAAAAGTGTACCTATGCACAATTTGAGGCTGGCTGCATTGTCAGGCAAGGTGGGCCGTCGCTTCGGATGGGCTGCCGCTCCACTCTTTCGAAATCGGGGCGCCCCGATTTCGAAACCCTGTACGAGCTCGCACCCATCCGAAGCGACTAGGCCCCGGGTGGCACGAAGCCTTATTTTTAGGCTAATACCGGGTGTCTGCATCTCTAAATCTTAACAAACGTTTAGGTAGGCGCTTTTTACAACTCTGATTTTGTTATATTCGAAACCAGCCCAAAAAACTAGCCTAGAAAGACTAAAAAAATCGAAAACCAAAGTGCCCCCCCAACTTGATAAGTACCGGCTTTTCTTTTGCAATAATGGTACTATAGATATGGAACGGCTGCGGGACGACTGTTGGATGGGCATCCCACATAAATTACGCCCGACGGCATGGCGGCTTTTATCGGTGAGTGTTTTGCCCGGGGAAATTTTAGCCTTGGAAAAACTCTTCTCAAGCACCGGCGTGCCGTATTTAAAAAAATTTATGATTTTTTAATACTTGGATCAAAAAATCAGGCGAAAACTTCCTCGATACACCTCGATACTTTTATATTATTTGTTTTCTAGGGCTACCTTCCCCCAAATCAAGCTCGCCGCGAGATCACGCTACAACGGAAACGCGAAGAATATTGGCACTATGTCGAGCAGTACTTCCATACTCGCTTCGACGATCACCACAATGATACGTTTAGACAGGTATTTGTTTTTTTTTGAAGGTTTGTTCCCCCAGCTACACCTTTTTATGCAGCTTTTAACGCCCAATTTTCAGATCCACATCGATATACCCCGGATGTGCCCGTTGATTCCGCTTTTCCAACAAAAATTGGTCCAAGAGGTGTGCCTAAATCGAGTTCTTTTCAATTTGGCTAGATGTTCGAGCGTATCTTGTACATCTGGGCCATTCGACACCCGGCCAGCGGCTACGTGCAGGGAATCAACGACCTGGTGACGCCGTTCTTTGTCGTGTTCCTCAGCGAATTCATCCCGCAACACGTTGAGGTAAATTTGATAAAAATTTAAAAAATTATGTATTGTGTAGTATAATACCGACCTTTTTGTAGTCTCATAACATTTTTCGATTTATTGAAAGAATTCTTTAGGTTGGGACCTTCGACGTATCCCAACTACCACGTGAACAAATCGAACTCGTCGAAGCTGATAGTTTTTGGTAAGTTATCGCTGGAAATTCATTTATCTTACTTTAGGTGCGTATCATCCCTGCTCGACTCCATCCAGGACAACTACACCTTCTCGCAGCCCGGCATCCAGCGGAAAGTGCTGCAGCTCAAGCACCTGATGTCACGCGTTGATCGTGAGTTTTCTTAACACCAAAGAATTGATAATTTTTTATAAACGTTTATTACTACAAATTTTTAGATATAAAAAGACAAAACTCCAAGTTTCAGGCCCCCTACACGTGCATCTCGAGAGCAACCAAGTGGAATACCTTCAATTCTCGTTCCGGTGGATGAACAACCTGCTCATGAGGGAGATTCCGCTGCGGGCCACGATTCGCCTTTGGGATACGTACTTGGTACGTAGTTGTGATTGCAAGGGTTTTCTGAATTCTTTTCAAAATTTGAATCAGTTAGAACTTCAACTTTTAGGCGGAGCGCAACGGCTTCTCCCAGTTCCACAACTACGTCTGCGCCGCTTTTCTGCGAACGTGGAGCAAGCAGTTGCAGAGCGAGAAGGATTTCCAGGTCTGAAATGGTCTAAATTCATTATTTAAATGTTTTTAGGGCGTCATGATTCTACTGCAAAACTTGCCCACCCAATCTTGGAGCGACCGCGAGATCTGCGAGCTGACGGCCGACGCATTCTCGTTGCAATCGGTGGGTTTTTGATTTGTGGGAAAAGTTGCGTACTCTTGGAGTAAATTACAAAATCCTTTTCAAAATTCTAAAAAATTCTATATTTTAGGTGTTCGATGGCGCGTCTCGTCACCTCACCTCTGGCCAATCAAGCCCATAGATTAGAACTACCAGCACCGATTTTATACTCACTCCAAAGACCCCCAATTTTTCCATGTTTTTCGTCAACGACTGACTGTGATGATTTTTTGTGTGTAAAACTTGCGCTGTCGATAAGTGCCTCCGCCAGCCATCGAACTGTCAAAGCTATATATCTTTCAGCCTGCGCCCATGCTCTAGTGACCCCCTTCCTTTTGTGACAATTCTATTCTGGTATCGCGTCTTCTTTGTACAGTTTTTTCGGCATAATTCTCGTGCTGCTCTTTATTTATGCCCGTTTTTCCGGTAACCACTTATACGAGAAATAAATGGGATTCAAGGTAGTTTCGAAGTATGCAGGCACCAGTGTACAGGGCAATAGATTCCAGATACAATTTTGATCGATTAAAATCTATTTGACAGAGCGAAAATAGAGCTTCGAGATCGTCTTTGCAACCCAAAGCGGCTCCACCCGGTCCAGCGCTTTTCACATAGCGGAACGGCTACGACACCGCGCGCCAAATAACGCCCCAAACGGCTGACTGCTTGAGAATTTAGGCAGCGTAAGCGTTTCGGCGGCCACTGATGAAAGAGTCGTCAGGCTTATCACGAAAAATACGTATTCATGGACCGTTCTGGACCTCTTCTTGTGTCTTAACAGGTTGCTAAAACCCTAAAAAATTCTTAGAAATGGCGGCACTGGCGCCTGGAGCGACCGTCCTCAGCTCGTGTATTGGATGTCAAGCCGGAACCGAGTATATTCACAGGTATTTAATTTGACCATTTTATTTTGACTGTATTTTCCAGGGAAATTGAGGGCGGAATCCATCTGATGACGTTCATCGCCTTCATCCTCGTTTCCGCCAAGGGAATCATTTTTGAGAAGCGCATGATCGGGGCACGACAACATATACCCACAAGGTGAGCCAAATTCTAAAATGTAGCTTCTGTTTTTCAATGACGGCCCTGGAATAACAAAAAAGTAACTTCTAAACATCTAATTCCAGAGAATATATGGCAATGGTCGTCCTATTTTTCATCGTCAATCAAGCAAACAATTACTCGCTATATTTTGACGTCAGCATGCCGTTGTTCATCATTTTTAAATCGGTAGGTATTTTTTTCGGCATTAATATACCTTTCCTAGGGCTCTTTACTGGCCAACCTCCTGCTCGCCAGGGTGATACGACGACAGACGCACTCATGGTCCAAGATTTGCGCCATTCTTGTGACAACAATAGGCACGTCGCTTTTCATCGATTTCTAAATGACATCTAGGTCTTGCCATCTTCACGTTGGCCTCTTCACTCAAGCGACCGGCATGGTCGGCCCAGCCGCCAGAGTGGACGCGATGGCTGCCGTTCCCCGCCTTCTGGATCGGTCAGTTTTCCTCGATAAATAACATCTATAATTTATTTTAGGCGTTTTGCTGATGTCGACGGCGCTCGTGCTCAGCGCGTATCTGGGCATCATGCAAGAAGACTTGTTCCGCACCTACGGAAGGCATCATCAAGAAGCCCTGTTCTTCGTGGTAACGTAAACCTTTCCTATACATTACCTGTTCCTAGCATTTCCTTTCGTTGCCCGGCTTTGCGTTGGTCGGCGACAAGATTTACGCGGCCGCTAGATCGACGGCAATATCGGAAGACATCCTGGTATCATCCCTAAGAAATACTTATTGTGTTTTGTAGATGCTAGAATTTCCGGTTCCCATCTGGGCAATCGTCGCCGGGACAAGCTTTTTGCAGTACGTTTCTTGTTTTTTGAATGATTGTTTGGTTTTAGCCTACTATGCTCGTCTTCCGTGTTCCGTCTCGCCACGATTCGGTCGTCGCTGGAAGTGACGATGCTGCTCTCCATCCGAAAAGCCCTTTCCGTGCAATTGTCGATATATTTTTTCGAAAACCATTTCACCTCGTTCCACTATTTTGGAGCTGCTGCCGTTTTCCTTGGCAGCGCGTTGTTCTATTTATGATTTCTTTCGTGTCTTTTCTAGGTTGCATTTTCGGCTCGGCCATAATCGTGCTTTATCGGGTTCTAGTCGTGCATTATGTGGACAATAAAGTTTTTGAAAAGACGGCTTTGAAGAACTTTTTACGGGTTTTGCCCGTCGATCCCTGATTGCGTTTCCTAAACAGCGCTCGACGTAGCTGGGAATGTCGTGGACTCGTGGCGGGATTCCGGCACTTGCACTCTTTCTCTCGTTTTTCGAGTTGCTGATTTCCTCCGCGGCCTTGCTTTTATTTTTTCCTGTGCTTTTTTCCGTGCTTTTTTGGACATTTTTCTAATTTCTGTCATTTTCATACCTTTTCAGGGATGCAAGAATCCCCGGGCCACCCGCAACAATCGCCCCAACTGATGGCCGCGCTCAACCAGCAGCAGGGCGCACCGAGCCCCGGCGGCTACATGAACCAGCAGGGCCCGCCTCGTGTGATGCAGCAGCAAATGGGCGGCCCAGGCCCGATGCGAATGGGACCCGGACCCGGACCTCGGCTGTCGAACCCAGCGCTTACCCCCTATCAAAGACCCATGCCACAGAATCCGCATCATGGTCAACCGATGCATATGGTGAGGTTTTCGGCTTGCTTTTTTTTTTGATTTTCAATTGTATTAACTTTTTTTTAGGGTCAGCAAATGCGGCCGATGCAACAGCCGATGATGCAGGGTCCGCGAATGCAAGGACAATTTATACAAAGACCGGTTGGCAGCATGATGGGTCCAATGGTGACGCAACAACGACAAATGGGCCCGCCGATCCAGCGTGCCCAAGGTCCCCCGGCCCCTCGACCGCAGCCCACGATACCGCCGGCGCAACAGCAACAGCAGCAGCCGCAGTCACAAGTGATTTTCACGGTTTTGGCAATATTTTTGCTTTAGGCACATGTGCTCGAGCCTCGACCGCAGCTGATCGAAAAGGCGAAGCTAGATGAAATCGCCAAACAAATCGACTCGCGGATCATCCTGGAGGACAACGTCCAGGACCTCATCATAGAACACGCGGACAACTTTGTTGAAGAGCTGATCGACAAAGTCTGCGTACTGGCGCAACATCGCGGGAAAGTCGGCGTTGGACAAGGCGAGACTAACCACAGGTATTTCCCATCATCGTGTTTGTATTGCTCTCCTAGGTTGGAGGTTCGCGACGCCGAGTTTGTCCTGATCAACATGTACAAGCTGCCCTGTGTTCCCCGCAACCCGCAAGTTGGCAACCAGCCGAAGCCCGAAGAACGTCAGCCGGCGTATGCACACCTTCAGCGCACCAAGATGCTCGCTCGGAGCGCAGCAAAAGCCAAGCAGCAATAGAATGATCTTTCGCTTCCACGGGTCCCCTCCTTTATTGTATTACAATGTCTTTTCATATGCTTCCATTGTTTGATGAAATTCTTTCAACTGTTGTTTTTTGGATACCCGGCTTTTTCCTTGGTAATAAAAAGCATTTCAGGTAGTATGGAGCGTGTCGAGAACACGGAATCGAACGTTTTGATCGAGCGCGAGGACGGATGCCCGTTTTCCGATGGAGAAAACAAAGAAAAGTAATTTTTCGGTCTTGTTTGTAAGCCCGGCTTTTAGCAGCTTGAACGAGTCGCTGCTCTCCGTCGACAAAACGCAAATCGAAAGCGGGAAGAAGACGCCAAGCTTTAACGAAAAGGATTTTCGCGAAAATGAAGTGTCGCCGTATGGCCCGAACTACTCACGCAACGGCGACATCGAGGTGCTACAGGCTGGAATTTTTTCCATTAGCCCAAAAGCCGAGCCCGACCAGTATCCAATTGTTGCCATGGTATTTTCCTATGTTTTTCCTAAAAACTTTTTTTCAGGGGCTCGATGCGATGCAGAGCGACATGGACTCGAGCCACCACCAACACACCACGGCGATCCTGCAGGAGATGATGGCTCAAGTCGAAAGAGATTACGAAGGCCCGGTCGCTCATGAGGAATTCATCCGATTCGAGAAGGAACCACGCCCTGATGATTCCTACGACCGTGTTAGTGACGACTCTGGGCTGATCAAAGGGCTGGAGCCCCTGGATGACAGCAAGGTGCTGCTGCCGGACGACCCGAAGCACGATTTCGAGCTCATCGAGAACAGCTCGAAGCAGTCTCCCAACAAGGCGCTCATCGAGTTTTCTGATGAGGTATATCCAAACACTTATCTGGCATTAACTGCTACTTGTTTAGATGAACGGGCCTGCCGAACCCATCGCCAATGACTCTGCTATTCCAACGAAGCCCGAGCCGAAGCCAATGACGACTTCTATGTTTATCGTCGACGAGCCGGTTCCGGAAATCCACTTTCACGTATGGATCGTGTCTGCTTCAAGTTTTTCTTTTTAGGTCAAAGAGATCCGGTTCTTGACCGAGTCGCCTCGAATCGCACTGCAGAGCAAGAACGGGCCCTGCCCGTTGCTCGCTGTCGTCAACGCGCTGGCCCTGAAAGGGCATCTCAAAATTCCAGCCGGCCGCACCGTTTCGCTGGAACGGCTGATGAACCTGGTAGCCGAAGCTCTACTAGCGTATGCTTTATCTGCTCTTCTAATTTACTCGTTCAGGCTCTCTCCGAAGTACGACGAGCAGTTGGAAGGCGAGCGTGAGCGCGGGATTGACGACGTTCTCCGCCTTCTCTCTGGCCTCTGCAAAGGTCTTGTTGTGGGCCTAGGCTTCAAGAACATCACGGTATTTCGCTTGTATTTTTCGCCCACACCCGTTTTTAGGACTTCGAGTTGACTTCGGCGCTCAAGCTGTTTTCCTTGGTCGACGTGCGCCTGGTCCATGGATGGCTCCCCGATCCGCAGCTCACCGAGCTCTGTAGGCGATTTCTCCCTATCTGAAATTTGATTAGGCGAGCTGCTCGAACCGCGCTCGTATGTTGACGCAGCGATCAAGGCACTGGAAGCCTCCAACCACGGGCTGATCATCAAGGAATTCTTGGACAGCACGAAAAGCCAGCTGACTTACTATGGTATCAATTGGTTTTTGTTTTGAGACAACAATTTTCTTTTTTTAGGCCTCGAACGTTTGAACCATGAGCTGCAGGATAACGAGGTGGCAGTTCTGTTCCGCAACAACCATTTCTCTACGATGTATAAACGACGGGTAATCTGCTTCTTTATTGTTGGCATGCTCGTGTAGGACGAACTTTTCCTCCTCTGTACCGACGAGGCCTTCGGCACCGATAACCAGGTCGTCTGGGAGACGTTGTCGAATGTGGATGGTGATTGTTACTTTGTCGATTGGGATTTCCGGTGAGTTTCTCGCATACGTTTCGTTTTACGTATTACTTTCTAGCACCTACTCATCTGCCCCGAGTGATTACGTCCCCGTGAGCGATGAGCACCACATTACCGACCAGCCGGGCTCTTCGGGGCAAATGGATTCTGATGAGAGGTAAAGAAATTCCGGCCTTTTTGTAAATTATTTCCATTAGGCTGGCCCGGGCCCTCCAGGAAGAAGAACATCGCGCATCTCGCGAACGCTCCTCAGCTCACCGTACCCAAGAGAGTCAGACCCGTCAGAAGCCCACCAAGTCCGAGACTCCGCGCCAAAAGCCAAAATCTTCTTGTGCTCTGATGTGATTGTGCCCCCTTCTACTACCCACTCCCTGTGAATTGTATCTTCTAACATCCCCCACTCTGTCGAGTCTCGCCAACATTCGACAGTTATGCCTTGTGAATACGCGTGTACCAAATTGCTAGCCCATGCTCCGGCCCCCAAATGTGCTTTGAATTTTGACACCTGTGATAAACGATAACCATGTGCCGTTCCCGCTGAATAAAACATTGCTCATCTATGCCCACGCAAAGCTTATAACAACAAAAGCGTTTCAGTTCAAGACTTTGTTCGCTCTAATATTCTTTTGGCTCGAAGATCACCTGCGTTAGGCTTGTTACCCTGTTGCGCGAACTTGAACAATTTTTTCATCATGGGGTGGGGGAGTGTTTACGCAGTGCAATTGGGGGTTTTCGCGCGTAGCTTTTGCCCCGGAAACTGACATGGGACTTTGAGCGATTGATTTTGCCTGATACGTGCTTTCAGGAATGGCACCCGAACGGACGCTTTGCAAATACTTTGCGAGCGGTGCCTGTACCTACGGTGAAAGGTTTGTCACATTTGTTTTGACGTAGATTTTGCAGGTGCAAAAATAGCCACGATTTTTCGGCGACGCGGAGCAATATCTGCCAATATTATGTGCAGGGAAAGTATGTATTTCAGCCAGTACATTAAGCAATTTCTTTTAGCTGTCAATATGGAACCCGTTGCCGCTACGACCACATCAAGCCAAAAAAAGAGCCGAGGAAAGATGAAGCACAAGGCCGCAAAGTGGCGGAAGCCTGTAAGGAATTGCCTTTCTATCGTAACTTTGTTTACAGCGGGGTCCCGAAAGCTGCCGAAGCCCATCCAACTCTGCGATTTTGAGAAGAAAGCCAGCTCTTCCGGCCTAAATGTCAACGCGCAAGAATTCGTGCCTTCATGGGTGACGTCTGATCAACGTATCTTTTGTCTTTTTACCTCTAACACTTCCTTTTCAGCCAAAAATTACGCGAGCGCCGCCGGCTCGCGTCCATCGCCGCAGATTCGCCCGCTGTGCCCGTATTTCGAAGAGAATGGCGAATGCAAAAAGGAGGACATGTAAATATTTTCACGACGTTCATTTCGTTTTGTTTAGGTGCGAATTTGTGCACGGCGATATGTGCTCGTACTGCAACAAAAACGCGCTTCACCCGTTCGACAACGAGCAGCGGTACAAGCACGAAATGGTAGGCGATATACGATTTTCAATAACATATTTCCAGGAATGCAAAAACGCTCGCCAGATCGATTGTGAGCTGGCTTTCTTACATCAGCGTACGGCCGAGAAGACGTGCGGTATCTGCTTGGAGAACATATCGGAAAAGGTTCGGGAATTTCTGTTTTTCTAAAGGTTAATTTAGAAGCTCCGTTTTGGAATCCTGGAGAAGTGCACCCATTGCTTCTGCCTGGACTGCATCCGGAACTGGCGTAAGCAGGAAGAGTTTCAAAATAACGTTATCAGGTCAGCTTTACCAAAATTTTATAACATTTTATTCTAGGACATGCCCCGAATGCCGTGTTCTTTCGAATTTCGTCGTCCCCTCGGACTTTGGGTGGAAACTGATGACGAGAAAAAGGTTTGCAATATCTTTTTTCTTACCTATTTTTTTGTTAGGTGCTCATCGACTACTATAGAGAAAATACCGGCCAGAAGATCTGCAGATATTACAAAGTAGGTTTTTTGTGGAGCATTTATCCCGTGGCAATTTTACAACCTCTGTCAAATTTTACATGTACATTTTCAGGGTGCGACCAGGGCGGGAGAGGGATGCCCATTCGGAAATAAGTGTTGGTATCGGCATCAGCTTCCCGATGGCAGCATTGATCCCGGAGAGGAACCAGGGTACGTTTTAAATTTATTTTTGTTATGTTTTTGTTGTCGATTTTAATGCATACCTTTCCAGGTCTCGCGTTCGCCCGAAGCTGCGCCACTTCCTCTTCCCGGAAGATGATGAGGATGTGGATGATGACTCCGACTCCGAGTACCCGTTCCGAATCTCGGCACTCGACGACAACAGCCTGAGCATCGAGTCGCTGCTCCGCGAATTGATGCGACGCTAAAGACCCGCTTCTCCCCGGCCATAATTATATTGTCAACACTTCAGCCCCTATTCGCTTCTGCCCTCTTCTAGCACTTCCATTTCTTGCTGACCGATTTGTGATATTTCCGGTTTTGATTTAGCAAACGAACCAATGTTATTCTGTTATATTTCTACGCCCATTTTTATTGCAATTTTCATGTGTTCCTAAGCCCAGTGACTGTCTCAACTTCTGCTCGGCTTGAACTTCGGAAAATAAAGTATTTTAACGGCTTCTGAAATTACTCTGGCGTGTCGAGGCCGATGGTGGAGCCATGTTCGTCGTGTTCTTGGTGTGAATTAATACAATGCAGGCGTTTTACGAAAAAGATCGATGCGCAAGAGCCGCCAACTAATGAAGAAGTGGGTAATCCTTCATGGTTTTCTACTAATAATAAAAATAAAATAATTGCTAACTTTCAAATGGTTGTTGCCAGTCTGCCTGCACTACGCCTCCAGCCGATTTATCGCACGGGGTGAGGAAACGCTAGAGTCTCCATAGGGAGGGTGACCAATGCGCGCAAGCATTTGCGCCAACGACACTTGCGCTTATGCAATTGCGCCTATGCCCATATGCGCGCACGACATTTGCGCCAACTACATTTGCGCGCAACTCAAATTGCGCGCACGCAATTGCGCGCAATGCCATTTGCGCGCACGACAATTGCGCTCTATGGGGGAAAGCCAACGTAGGGAGGGGCGAGAGGATTACCTAAAATGGAGATAAAATAGTTGTTTTCATAGGTTTTCTAGTGTTGTTATGGTAGTTTCGCAGCCGTCCGACCTACTAGGCCATAAATTACCGGCTGGGCAAGGTGACTTCGGCCTTCTGGGGCGTTCTCAGACTCTAATAGCTATTTCTCGACTAAAGCAGCTTTTCCCCTATTTTTTAGGCAGTTTCTTGGCTCTACATACAGGAAACGATCGGAATATGTATTTCTAATGTGAGAAAGGGATAAACTCGTCGTGGAAAGGTTTTTAGAGCCATTTTCGGATTACCTGGTAAACCCATTACCCGGAAACAAGGCGTTTTTCTCGGCGTTCTGACCTCCAAACACTGTTTTATAACAAGTATTTCGTGCTCGCAACAGTATTGTGGCTGAAAACATAAGAAATCGTGAGAAAATTGTGGCAAAACCAGTAACTACAGTTTTTTTACTGAAACACGGCAATTCAAGCCAAAAAGACTCAATAAGGCCAAAACAACCCGCTCGGGGTGATAATTTGCCGTCTACGAAGCCTATCTATCGCTAAACAAGCATACAAAGCTTCAAAAACATCCATTTTAGGTATTCCTCTCGCCCCTCCCTACGTTGGCTTTCCCCCATAGAGCGCAATTGTCGTGCGCGCAAATGGCATTGCGCGCAATTGTCGTGCGCGCAATTTGAGTTGCGCGCAAATGTCGTTGGCGCAAATGTCGTGCGCGCATATGGTCTCGGCGCAATTGCATGAGCGCAAAAGTCGTTAGGCGCAAATGCTTTCGCGCATTGGTCACCCTCCCTCTCCATACCGTCAAATTGTAATTATATTCCTTCCTAATGGTTTTTCTTTGCGACAATAAATTAATGACAGGCACGTGTTTTCCGTGACCAATTAAATTCAAGAGTCCTCCATGGATTCTGTAAGGGTATTAGCGTTTTATCAAATGCCTTGCCCAAGCCAGAAGTTTTTGGTGCGAGAAGGCCTTTCGACAGACGTGTAAGCCAAAAGTCTTGCGTATGCAAGCCCATCTGAATTGTGAAGACACTGAATTTGGGTGTGAGTGAGCAGGTGAGAAGCCCATAATCTACGGGGGCGCAACGAAATAAGCCCAGATAAGGGGCCAAAAGTACGGCCGAAATTACATGCCTCTAAAAATCGTCTGAAGAAGGCCCATATATATATATATATATATATATATATATATATATATATATATATATATATATATATATATATATATATATATATATATATATATATATATATATATATATATATATGCATATTCTAGGCCGAAGCGTTCGGGAGTTCAATACGAACGTACAGTTCCTTTTGCCTTTTGTATTTCCCCGCGCTCGTATGGTTTTGTTTGAATGAAACTATGATACTTAAAAATCGAACATTTCTACCTATTTCAGGCCGGTCTTTTGTCTTGGGAAGGCATTAACAAGGAGACGTTTTTGAGTTACATCCCAATTTGAGCAGGTCCAAGCCTGTCTTGTGCAGAATTTTACGCTCATTTTGAATATGGTTTGCAAATGTGTTAATCGGCAGTTTGAAGGAGTTATAGCGCATTTTAGGACGAAAATTCTCAAAATCGCAAAGTTTAGCCTCCAGCAAAAAAAATCGAGCGAAAATATTTCGTCTTCAAAATCCTTTCAAAATGCCGATTAAGCAATTTGGAAAAAGATTTGGAAACAGCGCAAAATTCTGCTCAAAACTAGGATGTCGCTCAAAAACATCTCATTGTAAGCTGAAAACGGATAGATATAATCGACCTTTCCTTTAATTCTGTATGAGAATACCCTTTTAAGTTAAAAGTTAAAAGTTAGACAATTTAGCACAAAAAATCTGACTTGTGAACCGCCGCCGACACGTAATGAGAAACGAACAGCCGGACCGACAAATAATTGGTAAGGGTGGATTTGGCACCGTTATCAAGTTAAACGCGTATAGACCGTAAGCCTTCACGAATTTATTAAATATTCATAATAGAGCTATTATCCTCAAAGAATTGACGGGGCTCGAGCGCAATGTGCAGGAAAACGAGTTGCTAACGTTGAAGTTATTGTCGCACCGGAATATTGTCAAATATATCGACGAACCGATCGGATATCAACCGTCTTCCCCGGATATTTTCTCCATTTTTATGGAATATTGCGAATATGGTTCGCTGGAGGATGGTAGGTGCCGCCATTTGTTGCCTTTTGCAGTGCAAAAATTTATATTGACTACCATTTTTAGTCATCGCGAATAAGGAAATCCTATACACCGTGTCGACAATTGTTCAATGGGCAAACGATATTTTTTCGGCCTTGAGCCACTTGAAATCTAACGGCATAGTGCACAGTGACATCAAACCTGCGAAGTAATTCAACCAACACGCATGGGGGAGTTCTGAGCAACCGACAATCGCGATCCGACTTTCTGTTAAGTAGCTAAGGCTAGGCCGTGGCTGAAAGCATCAATTTCTAGCGAAAAAATTTCTAGTTTCCTTTTCAGCATCCTGATAACGCGGGAATTTGTCGCGAAAATTGGTGATCTGGGCCTCGTGCAACGTGTTGCGGATGCAGGAAATATGCGGTGCGGAACCACGGACTACATGGCCCCGGAGGTTGAAATGGGGAAACAGGTTCCCGAAGAAGTTTGCGGTCCTGCGCCTCGGAAAACGGTCAAGCATTTTAGGAAAGATTCAAGCGCGACATCTACGCGACCGGTATTGTTATTCGAGACATGATACGCAGAGAGTAAGCCTATTCACATGGCTGTGTAATGCCTATTAAGGCGGGGGCTCGGCGGAATCCGTTCACCGACGACAACGCCGGGATCTCCGGCGGCCCTTCTATATGGTCTAGCGGACACGTGGGTTTCTTTGCTTGAGGAATTGGGTTGGTTTCAACTCGCGTCGAAACTGTGTCGGGTTTTATTCGGGCTCCGATTTCAATTTGGCCTAGTATTCAGGACCAAAAACCCGCAATGTTTCCATACTATAGGGCATCGAACTCGGACTACGCTCAACGCCCGCACGCGGAAGCCATGCTGAAATCGACTTCGGAAACTGTTAGTTAAACTTGAACAAAGAGAAAAGAGTCTTGATTGAATTATGGCGGATGAAAATTACGTTTAGAAATTTCCGCATGAATGGCTACCGGAGCACCGTAGGGGAACCGAGACGCTGACGCCACCAATTGGACTGGAAGGTGTAGCCAACGAACTACTACCGCCATCGGCCTTGAGCATTAGTTCGTTGGAAGAAAGACGGACGTTGGAACAACCCGTAAACAACACGCAGGCCCCAACCTATCCTCTGCTTGACGCTTGGCGAAACAAGGCTGAGCGAGAAACCAATTTTGATGATTTGATCGTGGCCACTCTCCAGGATATGGAGCTTTATTGTGGAGAGTCGAGTAGGTTACAAGTTATAGATTTATAAGACGAGTTGACAGCGCGTGTCAGAATGCGAAGCTTTAAAACTGTTGAATTCATTTTTAGTTTTTGACAAAGCGTCCTTCCGTTCCGGTGCCGACCTGATTGAAAGCATCGAAGCTTTGCGAGAGCCCCCGATCGACGCATACACGAATTTTATCGCGCACAGAAACAATATACCGGGCATTCCCCGACCGAATTACGGTGAGTTTTAGAAAAGGGCCTGAGAGAGGTTCTTTCGCATTATCGGGGGGGATGGCGAACCAATTTTTTTGTATTAGTCTAAAAATGCCTAGTAACTTAATAGGAAGCATCTTCATAATCTTTTCATTAAAATAAAACTATATTTTAATTAGAAAAATTACCTAATAATTTTTTTTATTTATTTTAAATAATTTTTTCGAAGTTTCCTTTAAGAAGCAAAAATTGCCAAAAACGTTTTTGTTTAAGCTTCCTACTGCGTTTCTGAGTGGTTGTGAACAGTTTGCACTTCTAAAAATCGTGGTAATTGCTCAAAAACACGAAAAATATTTCCCATCCTCTAATACACCCTCCCCTAAGGTGATTGAAAAATTTTTACAATTTTAATTTTAAAAAAATACCAGGGTTGAAAAGCCGCTTCGCGACTTTCCAACCCTGGCACCGTCTGCCCCCATTTTATCCTTCACGTTGCATAATTGTCCAAATGCTGATGACAAAAAATGAAAAACGACGTCTCCTGTCAATTTATATAGTCGAATCCCAAGTTCTGCTCTATGCTAATTATTCGGTAGATGGACACCATCCCGAAAGACACCATCCCGAAAAATTTGCATGCGAAAAGTCAGCTCTACTATAGAAAAAGGAGCTATTTTTCTATGCTAATGAAATTTTCGCATGCAAATTTTTCGGGATGGTGTCTTTCGGGATGGTGTCTTTTCGGGATGGTATCCATAATTCAATTATTCCTAACAAAGACGTTTTCACAAAAACTTAAATTTAATGTCGAAAATAGGTGATTTTGTTGAATCTCAGATGCGTGCAGTCATCTCCAGGCCCTGACGCACCTAATGACGTATCATACATACCTTAAAATTCATCCCTTAGCGAGATATCCTCCGGGCAGACAGACGGAAGTGGATGCAAAGTGGCACACACAGACACACACACATACAGACACTATTTTTTATATATAGTAGGATAACCCCCGGGGGTACGGATAATATGAAAGGAAATACGGTACCTAAAAACTTTGAAACATTTTTCAAGGAGTAGAAATTAGGATGAATAACAGGCATTTTTGATCGCGAAATCAATATTTTTTAATTTTTTTAACACAACTTGTATAGTTTTTACGTTTATGGGTAGCAAAAACAGTTTACAAAACACTTCCGCTATTTAGATCTAAAGATTTTGTTCTTTAGAAAAAGGTTTTCTTTTCCGGCGATAAAATTCCTCGGATCCACCCCCCCGATAATGCGAAAGAACCTGGGATACTTGGGTCGTTCGGCTGTCGAGAATTTACTGATGAGCTTTATTTTACCACACGTTTTGCAGACGTGGAGTTCCACTTGACCAGGGACAATGAGTGGAATTTAATTTTCCCACCCGAATGCAAATTGGCCAACCTTGATGGCGATGCACGCGGACAATCGATCAACGCACTACGAGCGTGGTGCTACACAGAGTTCAAGAAAAGCGTTGAGGCGGATATGGAGGCGAAGTGGGGCGCTTTGATGGAAGGCGAGCTTGCTCTCTGCACGGGCCAGGGCGGAAGGGTGTATAAACCTCTTGACGATCGACGGTCTATACTTCGCGAGCCGGTGCTGCGACCGTTTTTGCGATGCCTTGCACTTGATCGATTTATTCAGGTAGGGTTGATATTGACTTGGCACCTCAACAATCGGCTTTCGAAATTAGAGCATCCATAGTCGGGCTTTATTGGTTTTGAATTGGGTATTCGTTAATCCGCCACAATTCGTCAGATCACTGTTTGTTTGCACTGCTTGAATTGCTATCATAATGTGTAAATTCATAATGTCGAAATTTCATAATGTTGAAATTTCATAATTTCGAAATATCATAATGCCGAAATACAGAATGTCGATTTTTTTTTGCCTAGGATTCGGGGGTTTACCGGGAATACTAGATTATGTAAACTTCGACATTATGAAATTCCGACATTATGAAAATTCGGCATTATGATTTTTGACATTATCATTTGCGGCATTTTCAAAGAGACCCGCACTGCTCTGACCAGCAAATTCCTTAAAAATGCTGTACGCCTTACACAAGTGCGTGGTTTAGGATGCGTGCGTCCATTTCGCCATCCACATCCTCGTCACATGCGAGGGGACCCTGCTGTCCACCGAAGAAAAGATTCGCCTGCTCCAGATGGCCAAAGCTAACATCGAGCAGCTACCTAGTGTTGTCACGACGCGCTTGAGCTACCAATACCATCTTATTGCTGGGTCTTTTTATCGATGGTGGGTGGCTTACAGTTACTGTTAGTCGAAGGTTATCTGGATGTTTAACGGTTTTAAAAGCAATCCCGTTAATAGGTTCAAAGTTTCATCGGAATGGTATGTGCGGATGGATTTTGGCGAAATCCGAGCCAAGCGCAAGTCTGGAGTACAAAATGATCCACACACAAAGGATCATGAGTGGGATGAGGTGAACGCGAGATTGCTGGACGCCGCTCCGCTGGATATCGAGCCGCTTCGACGAGCTATTGACGATCGAATTGATACGTTCCACCACTTTCTAAGAGAGGTACGTTAAATGAGCCTTTGCTGCGGATGTGTCCCTGACGGTGCGGGTGCGGTTGCATTCTAACATTCATAAAAAATGTCATGCCATGACATAGATGTCCGTTATTAAAGCCTTTTTGCGTTTTTTTTGCGTTTTTTCGCCGTGTATGCGCAGCTAGACCATGTGCCCTCGAGTGGCATAACGAAGTAAGGGGTAATTCTCATATGAACTTTTTCGCAAAAATTTTGATTCCTGCGGTGCCTTTTCTAACTTTTCATAAAAGGGTAGTTTGGGTATGTAAGGTGCTTTTGCGCTCTATTTTTTTGGCGCTTCATCGAGAATTGAGCTTCAGAAGTTGAAATTATTTTGCGATTTTTGAAACAGTAGTTTCCGGCATTACCTTGACCAATCCTAAAAAAATAGGTACGGCGCTATCCTGTGTTTCCTGCTGTGCCTATTTCCAAAAGATTCACGGCCTGAGGGTTAGCCACAACCGTGCTTGGCTCTCGAACCGCACCCTTTGCAGAGCCCAATTTTTGAATTCCAGGATACGAATTTTCGCAGTGACGCCGAGAACCGCAACATGATCAATCAGGGACGTTTGCTGTCAATGTTGGATATGGCGAACCTCATACATTTCTTCCAGAAGCTGCCGCGCACCTTCCATGCCGATTTTCGCAATACTGCAGAAGCGAGACGTGAATCGGCAGAAAACGAGGCGAGTCTTATCGAAAAGTGGTTCTGGAATGTCAGCGAGGGGCGGGGGAACCAAATTTCCCCCTGATTCTCTAAGGCCTGATAACAAAATATAAACCATTTTTATGGCACTTAACACAGTTTTTAGATATAAAACAATATAAAAAATAACAAAAATTTTCGAGAATTTTTGACCTTTGGATCAAAAACTGTATGAAAAATGACCAAAAAAAGTCAAAATGTTCGAATTTTCAAAATGTTTAAGAACCTTTTTTATAGGCTTCTACCAGCCAAAACCTACTAAAACACAATAAAAATACATAATATATCATCAACAGCTAGGTGGGGAAACAGAAAGTGGTTTTCCTTCATCCGGCTAAAAATTCCTTACGGCATACGGTATACCTGAAACGGAGGATATGTCTATATTTTTAGTATTGTAGACTTAGTGGATGCTCGTGGTCGTTGTTGACAGAAACCGACACTTTTTGTGCGTATTTCCTACTTCATATTTTTCATATTTCAGGGCGCGGGCGAAGTTGAGGAAACGGAGTCCCGTGAAAGCAACTTGGGCGGCGGGGTCCTTACTGCGGCGCAAGTCGAGGAATCTATCGAAACTTTCCGCAAGCTAGCGATCGCCTACGTTTTCAACCCTCAACGCCCACCAACACCCCGTCGCTGCACATGCCGAGATGGGGAAGAAGGGGTCTGTGACGCGCTCGAATGCAAGCGAAAACCGGAAGTCGTTGGCTTTATCGAGGCATGGCCCATGTACGAAGCGGCCTTTCGATATGTTTGCCATTGGAACATTATACCGGAACACCCGGAAATGCATCTACTAATCGAGGAACTGTTGAAGAAAGCGAAGGAGGTACCATCGATATCTCCGTACGTAATCTACACCTTCAAAACGACGGTAAGCGCCAGGAATATGTCTAAGCGGAAAGTTTGATGAAGGGCGAGGATCCGATCGTTGGTGCGGATCTGCGGGCCGACTTCTTTGAGACGCGACTTCTCACGGGGGAGCAGTTCCAAGCACTGCCCCACCTAGATGGGATCGGTAAAATCATCTCTAGTGTAAAAGGTTTTTATTAGGCGGCGAGCGGGCCAAGAATGGGCGAAGAGGTGTTAGGATGGTGGAATTTGCCAATCTCACCGCCTTGCTAGAGATCATGGCAGGGTGCTGGAAAAGCAAGGTGATGGGAGGTGAGTGATGTTTGACCGAGGAGACGCTCCGGTATAAATGGAAACAGGGTATTTCCATTTAGTATTTCAAATAGCTGCGAGTCTTTGAGACAGCCTTTTCACAAGAAGTTTGGTCAAGACAAAGCCACGCTTATTTTAGACAAAACGGCATTCGAGGGCTACGAGAAAACGATGCTCGATGCGATCGCGGCGTTTTGGGCAAAGAGCAAGATTGTTGACCTTGACGACATTCTGACGGCACTGATCGACCGGTCTGGTTGTGGTCGACTCTGTCAGCTAATCGCTAACTGTCGAGCGCAGTTTCATACTTACTTAGCCATAAACGGGAAACTGCCAAAATGACGACATTCAAAATGACGACAGCCAAAATGCCAACAGCCAAAATGACGACTGCCATAATGACGACAGCCAAAATAGCGACAGCCAGAATGACGACAGCCATAATAGCGACAGCCAAAATGACGACAGCCAAAATGGTGACGTTCAAAATGACGACATGCAAAAATTTGATTTTTCCCAGCTATTATGGCTGATTTTGCATGTCGTCATTTTGAATGTCGCCATTTTGGCTGTCGCTATTTTGGCTGTCGTCATTATGGCTGTCGGCATTCTGGCTGTCGCTATTTTGGCTGTCGTCATTCTGGCTGTCGTCACTTTGGCTGTCGTCATTTTGGCTGTCGTCATTTTGAATGTCGTCATTTTGGCCGGAAATCTTTTATTCCGAAAAATTGTGTATTACCATAAACGTGTTATGATTTCGGTTTTCAGCTGAATTGCATCGGCATAAGCAAACTTTTCGGGGTCCGTAAAGAAGCGCAGCCCACTGACAACTTCGAGATCCTTAATTCGGGCCGTATATTCGAGGAGTAGCTGCTCGGAATCCTAAATAATACATAAAAAATCCGGCTCTGTACCGATATAAGGGATCACCGCCGATATAAGGGATCAGGGCCTCGGGCCGTCGATATAAGGGATCACTGCCGATAAAAGGGATCACCGCCGATATAAGGGATCACCGCCGATATAAGGGATCGGAAAAAAACCCGAAAATGGCGGGTACCGATATGAGGGATCACGAAACAGGATTTCGGGCAAAATGTCGATATAAGGGATCACGAAACCGGATTTCGGCAAAAATGTCGATATAAGGGATCAGAAGAAGGATTTTGCGCGGTACATTATTACATTGATGTAAAGAGCTATTTATTTAGGTCGATTTCGAAAGAAATTACAGAGAAGTTGATAAAAACTAATGTTTTACGGAAGTATTGTTCAATCCGATGCCTTTGCCAGTTTGTGATCGTGGTGCCTCCGCCTTTCCTTTTCCCTCATCCACCTTATTTAGTTTTCTGCGACTCCCGCGTTAACCTCTGTCAGGACTTACTAACTCGGTGATGCAGCAATTTCGATCCCTTACCTCTATCTGCTTTAGTGCGATCTCTGCCATCAATTCTTCGGCGTTCCAATCAGCTTCCTTCCGGCCCCCACCAGTCTACCGAAAATCGAATAATACTTCTGTAAAACCTAGTTTTTATCAACTTCTCTGCAATTTCTTTCGAAATCGACCTAAATAAATAGCTCTTTACATCAATGTAATAATATATCGCGCAAAATCCTTCTTCTGATCCCTTATATCGACATTTTGGCTGAAATCCGGTTGCGTGATCCCTTATATCGACATTTTGGCCAAAATCCGGTTTCGTGATCCCTTATATCGGTACCCGCCATTTTCGGGTTTTTTTTCCGATCCCTTATATCGGCGGTGATCCCTTTTATCGGCAGAAATCCCTTATATCGGTACAGAGCCAAAAATCCTGTGTAAATCGATACCATCATGTTGAAATTTTCGAAGGGATACGGCAGCAAGAATGCGAGCGCTTTCGTTGCTTGGTTATTTTGGCAATGGCGATTGTCGGACATCCAATTGCCGCCTTCACATCGTACCAGGATACGGTAGAAGTATGCTTGGATGTGGCTGAAAAGGAGAAATCAGATATAGGGAGAGAGAGAGAGAACGAAAGAGAGAGAGAAAGAGAGAGAGAGACGGTGAAAGATAGAGAGATATGAGAGTGAGAGAGCGTGAGAGAGAGAGAGCGATAGAGAGCGAGAGAGAGAGTGAGAGAGTGTGAGAGGCAACAGGCTCAAACTTACTCATGGGGCCTTTCAATCCACCCAGAAATCACGAGCATCTCTTCATACATTTGCAAATATTCCGCCGTCTTGCTTTCGACTGCTCTCCAAAGAGATTCCCGAAATTCCGGATTTACCGTGATTTTTAGTCGATTAGCGACATTTTGAACTGTAAAGAAGCCTTTTTATGATTTTAGCGTTACTTACCTGATCCTACCGACAGGGATATTTCGCTTGGAAACAGTTTCCTGATAAAATCCATGTTTTCCCGATCGTCTTTCAGATCGTTTTTCGTCAAGAATTCAACCACTAATTTTCCTAAAATACAGAGGACCCTAATCTTGATAAGAAACTTACTTCCAGGCGCCTCCAAGTAGTAATTTTTATCGTCAGCGTTTTGATGGCAGTAATCAAGGCCATTGTCTTGTTTTATAAAGTTTTCCATAGAGTTTGCGGCACGTCCAGAACAGGAACTAAATATTTTATAATTTTATTAAACGCAAAAAAATACCGTATCGTTTCCATGTTCTCATAAATTGGATCTACGATTTCATCTTTATTTTTTAAAGCGGAGCTTAAAATCCCTTGAGTGCCATTATTCGGCTCGGGTTTGATTTTGAGAATTTCTAAAAGGCGCTACTTTCGATGGGGACCCCTTTACCTGCAAATAAATTATAATACTCCGTATTCTGGAAGGGGGCCAAAGTTTGGCCGCGTCGAAGGTCCGGCCCTATCGCGAAGAAGATCATCTCCATCTGCAATTGAAATCTCTATTTTATGGTGCCGTCATTACACCAAATTTCCTAATTATGATTTTTGACTTTTTCAACGGTATTGGATTCCGCTTTATATTATTTAAAGGGATGCCGACGGCATAGACAATCGGTTACGCGCTGGAAAGAAATTGTCTCTCACAACCGCCCATGGGTTCGGTCCGGATGGTTCAAGGGAAAGGGCGTACTGTACGTGTTTTTCGCGCGTTGCGTGCGGCATAGCAACCGGTTGTTAGCTGCGCAGGCCTGCTTTCGCCATTGCGCGACGCGTCTATCGCACGCGTTGCGGTCTTCCCTCCTTTCCAAAGCTACCGGACGTTTTATTAGGAGCCGGGCCGCTGTGCTTTGCTCCTCCCCCAGGGCGCGCGCTCTGCCCTGTTGGCTACTTGCCAATTTGTTGATGGGGGGATCGACACATGCCGTCGGCAGCTCTTTAATAGCCGTCTATTCCCTCTGAATTTTTCCGCGCGGCAACCGGCAAACCGGCAATCTAAATTTTCGTTGCATAATGGATTAGGATTGGCTTAATTCGTTGCGCAAGGGAATTATAGCGGCGGCGAACCTAGCGCAGAAATATGTCACAGCGGCCCGGCGCCTAATAAAACGTCCGGTAGAATTGGAAACCAAGAAAGACCGCAACGCGTGCAATAGACGCGTCGCGCCATTGCGAAAGCAAGCCTGCGCAGCCAAAATCATGCTGCTATTTCGCGCCCCAGGCAAAAACCCGTACTACGCCTTTTCCCGGGAGCAGGGTTGGTCATTTTCGGATCGGACTGGATCCGGATCTGTATCTGGATCGGATCCAGGGCGGATCCGATCCGATCCGGATCCAAGGAAATGGATCATGCAACAGAGTTAAGTGCTAATTCTTAGATGCAAAGATCAGTTCTGCCTCTGGGCTATGTATTTTTGCGATTAACATGACCGAATCAGCATCAGAATCGAGAATATTACTTCCGGTCCCTTTTTTCCTCGGATCCGCATTGGATCCGGATCCGAGCGAATCCAGATCCGATCCGGATCCTTACCGATCCGGGTCCATCGGTGAACAACCCTGCCCGGGAGCCATAGGGACCGAACCCATGGGCGGTTGTGATGTACGTGCCGCCCCGCTTGTATTACTTAACTGATTACGATCCTTCAAGGCGACAAAGTCGCGTCTGCGTCTGCGTCTGTGTGCTCTTTAAAAACGTACCTCAGGCATAATATAATCCCATCCATGATTGCTGGCCACGATTATCCGCGGTTTAGCCGGATAAGGATATCTGTTATTGAAAGACGTGCGACCCGGCGATGCAAAAGCTGCTCGTCCATCTCGATGAGACGCGGGCGCTCGGCAGCCAATTCATTGTAAAGGTGATTTGCACAGATTTTAGCGGGCGTCGGTCTTGTTGCTTTTTCTCGCTAGTGAAAGGCAGGCTTCATATGCTCTAATTTGGGCCGTTCATTATATTTTTTTTTCAGGAGCTCGACGAGACACACCTGATCGTCGACAAGGACATCGTCCCACGATTGAGGCCAAGATTGACGAGCTGATGGAGCAAATGAACCCCGAGGCCACCGAGAAATAAGGCCCCCTTTCCCTTAATACTTCTCACATGTATATTTCCCATTTTGCAATATCATCCGGGCCGCTTGTTACCTTCTTTTTTAGGGCATGTTGAAATAAAATCTGGTAGAAATTTGAATGAAGCAGAAATGTTGGGACAATGCTTCGGTGAAGCTTTCAGAGTAGTTTCCATTTTCAAAATTAGCATTGCCTTTAAAGCAGAGCCACCCGACAGATACACATTCATTCCACTAACTTACCCTACCACCCACCCGTCGTCCCTTACAACATGGACGAGGCTTTGGTGAGTAGATGAGTTGCGCTTCTGTGTTGCACGGTAAATTGATTTGCCACGACCGCGTTGGAGGATCGAACCGGTGAAATTGTTTTTAGTTTCTAAGGGCGGGAATATGTTCTTGCGGACTGGTCCTGTAACCGATTACCATGCTGTTGCTCCGGACCTACAAAAATTTATTCAGCCTGTCTCCCTCCATCACGCTGAACAGAGGCACCTAGAAGTGACTCTCGCGTTGGAAAAGGCACAACGGGAGGAGCAGATCGCGTACGATGAGCATCTGGAGGCGGTACGTTTGCATTTTCCATTTTTGGTTGGCATTCTCAGTAGAACTTGGTCCCAACTCTTTTTCAGGAGTTACTACAGAACCTGCTCGAACGTCGAGTTCAACAGCTCTTATACCTAGAGAGCTCGGCCAACTTGCGAGCGTTGGCGGCGGTTACAGGGCCCGAGAAGTCCGTGGATGTTCAGTTTGCCAACTTGACGGAGGTAACCCTGATGGTTGCCTTTCAGTATCATTTTCTGCAGAAGCCCGTCGAAATTCGATTCACGACGGAGGAGTTCACCGAGAAGACGGCCGCCCGCCTTCGCAGAGTCGAGCAGTTGGCGGCACCGTATCGAAGCTGGAACGCGGAACAATTATTTCAGGTGCAACTGAAATATTCCCCTAGTTTGCTTTTGTTTTGGCCGGTTACGGGGTTTGAATTTGCATCGTTTACGCCTCACTACACTCACCGACTTTTACAAGTCAGCATCGTTGATGAGCAAATTGTCTTGAAGCTGTCTGTAAATATCTGAAATCGAAAAACGTATGATCCCAGCATTCAAGTGTAATATTGGTTTAATTAGGGCTCAAGTCTAGGAAGCCCCCCAGCCTACTTTTAAACTTTTCTACCCTCCCTAATTTTGTTTTTCGCTACTTTTTCGGTTAAAATGCAATGTATTCTGACTAATTAGTCTACTGGGAACGATTTGGTATATTTTAGAGCTCGCTAGATCCAAGGGGGGGGGAAGGGCGAGATACAAAACTAGGTGTCGGCTGGGGGCGGGGGTTTCCTAGACTCTTACTTTAATTAGTGTTTTCTACATTTTTGTGGAGGATTTACAAGTCCCAAAACCGCCGTTCCAGCATTCTCCCTCCCCGACCTAATTTGGCCAACTTCTTTTAAAATTTTAGAACTTTGATTCAAGCTTAAACATTTGTTTTTTTAGCAAGCAATTTGTTAGAAATCTTGCAGCTGACCAACGAGTACAGAAGCAGCCTTCGGACGATCATGATACAAGCATGGATCAACAAACGGAAAGCGGTTGCACGCGCCTACAGCAGTTTCAAACTGCATGTAGGTTTGGGGCCCACATCTTCTTCAGGACTACTAGATATCTTATTGGATAGCTATGCTTGTATACCTACCAAAATTGATAAGTCCTTGCATGGTGGTTTTTTGGTGTTTTATAGTATTGTCTCTTTCTGTAATACTTAGAATTTCTAACTAAGGTTTTGTAAATGAGTTAAATTGACACAAGTCACAAATTTTCATCTATATCTATCTATAAAATTTCCTCAACACGACTATTGTCTATAATAGGCAGGTGGTGTCATTGCTTGAAACCATGATTATAGACCAAATCTGATGACGCGTTGCCGTACGCCTACGGCCTATTTCAAACGCTGACAGTGGACGCCGGCCTCTCGCAACCGACGCAACTCGACCCAATGCCGCCGGCGAGTGATCAGCTTAATCCTATAATGTCTTGATTCAGATGCCGGGGTTCTTTGGCACCGGCGGTGCCTCGACGTTCGGAACACCTCCGCCGCAAGAGCCGCCGGCGAAGTCGTCGGCAGGGCCGACCAACCGTACCCCACCCTCGCCCTCCTACTCCTCGTCGGCCTGCCCGACCGCCCGCCAGCTGTCGGCGGAAGGGGGCAACAGCGTCAACAAGGAGGTCAGCAGCCACGGGATTTTCAAGCAGTACACCACTTTTTAGCTCTCTCCCTCTCTCTGCCGGCCGGCCGGCCCCGAGGACTCCACTTCCAAAAAATGCAACATTTTCCGACCGGTAGATCCTCTAGCTCTCTTTTTCTCCCTCTCGCCTACTTTCTTTGCGCCTTCCTACTGACGAAATGGTGGTAAAAAGATCATCTTTAAGCTCCTGACGTCGATCCCCGAAGGCGGCTCGCTTCCGCGACTCGGCCGAAGCCTCGGATTCATCCATGCCATCGATGATACTCCCGGACGCCTCGGGCAGTGCAACGGTTGGTGCAACTCTTGCTGGGCTCCTCCACATTATGGGGTGGGGGGGGGGGATTCGATCAAAATATCCCTGCCTATCTTTCTCTCCTTCTCTCTCTCGCTCTCTCTCTCTCTCTCTCTCTCTCCAGCTTTGAGCTATTTGAAGTAAAAGCACCTTAGCCGCAGGAGCCCACGGCGGCGCCATCGGCAGGGCTAACGGATCGTACCCCCTCATCGCCTTCCTTCGCCTCGTCGGCTTGCCCGACAGCCCGCCAGCTGTCGGCCTTGTCGAGCGGTGACTGCCGGACCGCCAGGCAGATACCGGATAAACTGCTCAAAGAACTCGAGGTCCTCAGCAACGGCGTCATCAAGGAGGTCAGCAGCCCCGGGCTTCTCAAGCAGTACACCTCTTTTTAGCCGATCTCCCCAGCCGCTACCACCTGTCGTGCGACGAACGACAAGGCCAGCGTCACCCAGGAGGGCGACATCACCCTGGAGGGATCCGACGAACAGCTCGACGACACCGCCCAGGCGCAGAATGATATCAGCGAGGTCAGCGAGCAGACGACTTCATGGAATACAATTTTTTCTAGGGTCCGACTGCCTACTCCGTCGATATGCTGGCCGGATGTGCGGCCCTGTCGACGTCGTCTCTCAGCACTGACTTGAGCGCCTACGACAACCACCCGGCTGACCTCTCGCGCAACGCCCTCTCCTACACCGACACCAAGGTCGAGAATACCGACGGTATGTTTCCTCTATCGAACGGCATTTTTAAAATCCTACCTTATACAGGGTGTCCCAAAAAAGAAGAACCCCAAAAATTTGAGTCAGAGGGCACCTACGGAGCTGAAAATTTGCACAGAGGTAGCGAAGCCAATTTTCTATGAACAAGGAAAATTTCAGCCCGATCGGCCAGCGGGGTTTAAAGTTATAGCGAAAATACTTTTCATTTTTAATTTACTATGGGGATGTTTGCAATTTGCATCAAAAATATGCGTTATTCTTGCATTTACGAGCCGATTTTGCATAAATTTTGCCGAAAATGCCATTTTCTTGATGGAGCTTTTGGAAAACGATTGCTCGTGTAGCGAGAAAATGATCAGCAAGAACGATGAAATGACCAGGGAGGGCTACTTTGCATAATTCCAAAAAATACAAATTTCCTCATTCTTGCAAGTTGCACGCGCGGGTGTGGTCGGATGAAGGGAGGTCGGGTGTGGCCGAAGGACCAAAGCTATCGGAAAGTCAAATTTCTCATCCAAAGGCCCGTTCCCGCGCCCAAGGCCCGCGAAGCGGGTTTTGGGCGCTGGTATGAAATAAAAATGAAAGAACGGGCGAGCAAGCCAGCAGAGATTCTATCGGGCCCAGAAAAAATTCGATTTTTTAGGACTCACCGATCTCGACAGCGTGGGCACGCTCTCTTCCTCTAGCGCCACAAGCATCGCCTCCTTGGTTTCGGTCAAGGTCGTGTTTTCCTGCATTTTTTTGTAGCAGTAGGTCTAGATTGTCATCCAGCAGCCTTGAAAACGCGCCAATTTTCAGAAAACGGTCTCGAAAATGGGCCGTCCCCTGGTACTGTATTCGGAAGGGTACTGCGCCCGATGCACCCCTGCGGCCGGTCTCAAAGACGTGCGATACGATTTTGGTGCCGGGGTGTGTAGGGACTGTGTGCGTGGGTTGAGGTGAGTTCATGAAATCATCCAACAATGAAACGATCGTTCTCAGAAAAGCGCTCGAGAAGTACAACCTGCTGGAGAGCCGCATTTGTACTTGCCGGGCCCGAGGTAAATTTTATCGACAAGCCCTTCGACCGACCAAATTTTAGGCCGATGTACTGTTTGCGCATGGCGCCGCTGGGAAGGCCACGCGTACGAGGACCCAGCTCTGCGAGAAGATTGAGAGAAAAGGTTCTGGCGGCGATAAGAAGACGAACAACAAGCCTACCTCTTTCCCTCATACCGCCTGTTTAAACTCATCTTTGTTTAACATTACTCGCAACGTATTCTGTTTCGCCGTGATCTAATTACAGTATCGTGCAGTGCTTCTATCTACCGACGTAACTTCTTCTATCTTCTTAATGTGACCATGTCGATTTGAATAAACGGGTTTTGTGGTTTGGCAGATTACTATCGAGAGAATGCGGGAGAGAATCCCTAAAAATGATACCTTCCGGGTACAGCTCGTCGAGGCGAGCGTGGCCGGCTTGCTCCGCAAGGGTGGGGCGACGTGGGGATGGAAATTCGCTGTGGTTGGCCGAGTGACGGGCGCCGTTGTGCTGAAAAAATACAATTTGGAAGCGGGGGAGATAGAGTGAGGGAGTGAGAGAGCGCCAGAGAGAGCGAGAGAGAGACGGTGAGAGAGTGAGAGAGCGAGAGATTGGGAGAGTGAGAGTCAGAGAGTGAGAGTCAGAGCGTGAGAGAGTGCGCGAGTGAGAGAGTGAGAGTGAGAGAGTAGGAGAGAGACAGCGAGAGAGGGCGACAGAAAAAATGAGGATGAGTGGGAGCGAGAGTGCGAGTGGGAGGGTCTTTCTTCATCTTGCATAATTACCATTTGGCATAACGCTATTTAGCATAATTGAATTTCGCATAATTTTTATACCGTATACTCGCATAACGCTTATTACGCCTAACGACATTTCCCCCGAACCGTCATTTCGCATAACGAGCATTTCGCATAATTTTCATTTGCCGTTCACTTACTTTCTGGCCCTAGGTGAAAGGAGGTGGGTAAAAAAGTAACAAAGACAAAAAATCCGATTTTTTCGGTAAAAACGGCTTTCGAGGCTTATGAGAATGTGATGCTCCAAGCTGTTATGGATTTTTGGCAAAGAAGACAGATTGTCGACTATAAGAAATAGGCAACGAACAATGTTCCAATTTTTTAAATAATCTCGGCTAGTTGCCTTTACATCCCCCTTCTTTTCTCTTGTTTATTTTCCGGTATGCGTTTCGAAATTTTAATCTTTTATTCCGCAAAATTGCGTATTACCATAAACGTGTTATTATTTCGGTTTTCAATTGAATCGCATCAAAATACGCAAATTTTTCGGTGTCCGTAAAAAAGCGCAGCCCACTGACAACTTCGAGATCTTTGATTCGGGATGTATATTCCAAGAGTAGCTGCTCGGAATCCTAAATAATACTTGAAAATGTCCATATTGTTACTATACCATATTGTTGAAGTTTTCAAAGGGGTACGGTAACAAGAAAGCAAGCGCTTTCACTGCTTTTTTATTTTCGCAATGGTGATTGTCAAGATCCCAATTGCCATCTTCACATCGGACCAGGATACGGTAGAAGTAGGCTTGGATGTGACTGAAAAAAAATAAGATAAAGAGAAAGACAGAGAGAGAGAGAGAGAGAGAGAGAGAGAGAGAGAGAGAGAGAGAGAGAGAGAAAGAGCGAGAGATAGCGAGAGAGAGAGAGAGAGAGAGAGAGAGCGAGAAAGCAAGAGATAGATAGTGAGAGAGTGAGAAAGAGAGAGAGCGCGAGCTAGAGCAGGAGCTCCAACTTACTTGTGCGGCTTCTCAATCCACCCAGAAATGACCAGCAAAGTATCATATTTTTGCAAATATTCCGCCGTCTTCCTTTCGACTGCTCTCCAAAGGGAATCCCGAAATTCGGGACTTACCGTGATTTTCAGCGATTTACCCGCATTCTCAACTGTAAAGAAGCTTTTTTACGATTTTAGAGCTACTTACCTGGCCCTCCCGCAAGGGATATTTCACTTGGAAACAGTTTCCTGATCAAATCCATGTTTTCCGGATCGTATTTTAGGTCGTTTTTCGTTAACAATTCAACTACTGATTTTCCTGAATTACAGAGAAAAGCTTAATTTTTGGGATAAGCTTACTTCCAGGTGCCTCCAAGTAGTAATTTTTATCGTCAGCGTTTTGATGGCAATAATCAAGGCCATTGCCTTGTTTTATAAAGTTTTCCATAACGCTCGACGCTTCTCCAGAACAAGGGCTTAAAAATTATGATTTTCTCAAAACGTAAAAAGTTACTGTATCGTCTTCATATTCTCATAGATTGGATCTACAGCTTCATCCCTATTTTTTAAAGCAGCACTTAAAATCCCTTGAGTGCCATTATTCGGCTCGGGCTTGATTTTGAGGATTTCTAAAAGATGCGACTTTCCATGGGAACCGTTATACCTGCAAATAAATTATAATACTCCGTATTCTGGAAAGGCGCCAAAGTTTGGCCGCGTCGAAAGTCGGGTCCCACCGCGAAGAAGATCATCTCCATCTGAAAGTATGGTACTAGCTTACAAAATAAATATAAAATTTTTTGATGGCCTCGGTTTCCGCTTTATATTATTAAATGGCTGTCAATTCCGTCTGACTTTTGTCGCAAACGTACCTCAGGCATAATATAATCCCATCCATGATTACTGGCCACGATTATCCGCGGTTTAGCCGGATACGGATATCTGTAAACAGGATTTGCACGGAATACCACGATTTTTTTCTCACAATCCAAATCGTTTTTCCCGGGCTGCCGTGACCACGATATCGCCCACGCGTTTCGAGACCGTATAATGAAACCTGAAGATCGTAAAAGGAATGCATGCTAGGGTACCACAATGGGAATGGATCGAAACATTACGCGGTAGTGCTCCCTTACCTTGGTGGCAGTGTCGAGCGGTTGTAGGCCAAAAACGAACTCCGCTCCGGGTCCGATCCCAATTTCTTCAAAATCTCCCCACTTTCCGGGGCCCCTTCGTTCAAATAGAATCTGGCTACGGTATCAGCATTTGCGTATTTGCTCGGAATCTCGAGCTGTGTCGCGTTGAGGACTTGGTTTTGGTTCATGAAGCCTGGAAGTAGGATTTAAAGGCGCCAGGAAGGTACGTAAACACGCTGCCTAGGGCTACCCAAACAGCCTCTTTACACCGGCCAACAAGGAATGGCTATGGATTTTTGGATAAAGATTTTAATTGATTGGGATATACTCCTAGTTTGACATTTCAGAAATAGCAATTTGTAGATCAACCTTGTCGAAAGTATCTTGCCAAAGGCAAGACTTTCGAAGGGTATTACCCTTCGGGGAATTATCCTGGGGGCGTGACCTTTATCCAGTGGGCCCGTGACCGTACCCCCCTGGGCGGTCCGGCGCGCCCATCCCTTTCCCCGGGGATTTTCCCGGGGCCTACGGCCCTCTCCGATTTATCGGAGTTTTTGGGGAAATCGCAATGAGGACTTAATGTCCCGTTGCCACAGTCCTTTATGGATTGTGCCCTCGGAAAAGGGAAGCGGCCCTTACGAATACCCAAAACCTGCCCGCTATGGGCTTAAACCAGAACCTGTTTTCCTTTAGGCCGAAGGCCTTTCTTTCTCTAACTCTCACCGTTCCCCTTTTATCTCTTTCGTTTATTCTCACTGATAAATACTTGTGACCGAAACTGTCTTCCGTATAATCACATGGCAGGATACAAATTCTATTCCACTGAACAATCCTACTACATCTTCTTGTGGTATGCTTCTTGGGTTCGTGAATCTTTCTGGGTCTATGCTCTATGCTAGGCTTGGGGAGTTTGAATGGGCCCAAGGGGCACTGGCGGGAATATAGTGTGGCAGACTATTATTCCTCGTCATGGTGCGTCGGGGATTCGAATCTGAGTCTCTAAATCCTTGCCAATATGTGTTTATACCCTACACTCAATCTCCATGTGAGAAAAGACAGGTCACTTGTGTTTTTGAACCAATACCTACCGCGAAAGCGAAGGGATGCTGATATCCGAACCCAAGACCCGCAATTTTTGCGTCAAAACTGTGAACAGGAAAGGATTGGTGATGGAATCCAGAGCCAATACCAACAGAACCAATACCAAAACCGCCGTCGTTCAAGGCAGTCCTGCCAAGACGATGAGTGAAGATGTAAACCGCGATGGAACCGGCTTTTACCGGCAAGTATACGGCTTCTACTCCGTTATTCCCTCGTGGAAACTTCGATTCCCCATTGGGGTAATGTACTAGCCTACGATCTTGAGTAATTTCATTGCGTATGGCGCCTGAAATACATTAGTTTCTGATGTTGGCCTCTAGCCACATCAATGAACATCGAACGTTGACACTTGTGGAGGAGCTTAGATAAACCGTTGCTGCGGCCATCAGATGCCAATACATACCAGAACCAGGGTGCGATGATGTGTGCTTTATGCCACGCTCGCCGCTCGGTGGTCCGCAAACCATCGAGATGTCAGAAGAGATGATCGCAGCACCCTACGCCTCCTCGTCTCGTCCGCACTCACAGTTCCTTTGGAGGTGTATCCTAGGCCGAGCTCCGGCGAACGAGGAGTGCTTCGACTTTCGTCTCTGGATGGCGGCACCTTTGTCAAGAGAAACAGGCTCTGCCCACGCCAAAAAGATGACAGAGAGTCCTGCAGGAATCTCCGAAGAATCTCAGGTGAAGGTTTGATTTTTGGATTTATACATTTTTCACGCGCTTGATCAGCGTATTCATCGAAATTGGTGAGACAAGTCTCGACCGTTCTGCGCCTTTTGCTATTTTGTTCTTTGGTCGCGCTCAAAATTTCAAAACCAGTTCCCAATGTTCTGAGGTTGACCCGTGACGAAAGCGGTGAGGCAGCAGATATCCGGTGGGAGGTAAAGACTAGATCGACCCAAAACCCTACAGGTCAACTGTGGAAGGTTTGACCCAGAACCGGAAAGCTTTTTGTGTTTCGAAAGCGGACCAATTCCAGTCGAAGAGGGTACAGATCCTGCTACAAACACCTTTCTGAAGGGTTTTGTAGACAGAACTGTGGAAAATGGGATATAAAACCTCATGTCAACCATCCAAAACCTCCGATTGTCGGACCAGCACAAAACCGAAGAAATAACTGCAACCCGCAGCCTATTTTTTCAAAGAATTGCAGCTGTTGATTCTATTTATAGCGTCCTCAGCGCAATTTTCGAAGAAATAACTTTTTTCTTCAACCAATTCCATGATCAGCAAACCTTTCGCTTACTTTCCAAACGAGCGAAGAGAAAGAAAAAGGATTTTTTGAAAACAACATGGAATTCGCAAAAGTTTGGTTGCCTAAAACACAATGGGTGTACGAATTACACCGCCGGGGTACGGTAGCCGCGCGCTAGCCGGCTGCCCCCCTCTCTCGAATTTTCGTCCCAAAATTTTGCGAAGAGGAATTTCCCTCACCCGTGTGTTTTCGATCCTTTTTCCTGTGAAACTCCCACATTTCACCTTTCCCTATCACAAAGCTCCAATTTCTTGCTGATCATGTACCCAACACCATGATTTGAACCAAAACCACTTTCTGATCAGTTTTCGGCAACAATATGAATTCCGTATTGCCCGTTAACTGGGGGAAATCCTATTTCCCTATGTCAGAAAGTTTGAACCAAGCCAAGAATTCGGCATTGAAGGTGGCGACTGCTATATTGGTTGCCCTCTCTGTCGATATTCCGACCCAAAACGAATTTATCGACGTTGAGCGACATTTTCTCGCCTACGAAGATGAGTTCAACAGGACAAATCTTACGATTGCTGCTGACGATTGCTATATTGGTTGTCCGCGTCGTAAGGTTTTACTGAATTCCCCTCTGGTTCTACTCTCGCGGTAGAATCAAACAAAACCTTTGAGAATCAGTGAGCGTAGCTCCATCAATGCGTGGACAGAAGCTCGCGGCATGCTTTTTGCGTGCGATTCTCAAACTCTTCCAGTTCCTTTTATTTTGGAGTGGTAAAGCTTTCTATCTACACGAAGAAAGTGATACTCTCTAAAAGTTACACATTCCAAAACGACGGGTGACTTCCAACCCGTTTCGGAAGGACTTCAAGAAGATGACTGACGCATGCTGAGCAAGCAACATCGATGGATCAAGGACGCCGTCGCTGGGACCACTCGGTGAACATCGAGCTGCAGTGAGAGAGCGCACGATTACCGAGGCCCCCGCTTGCTAGACAAATCAAAATCCACAACAGATGAGTTCTTTCCGATACAACCCCGCTTACGCCGACTGCTATCGAACGTTATGTCGAAGCAGCTCAGCGTACAGTCATGGGTTATAGGCCTTTATACCAAAACCTCCTCTTCCTTCGTCCAGAAGCTGTTCGAAGCCGGGAAAATCACATTTTTCGGCTGACATCAGATGAAAGAAACTCATTTCTTTCCCTTTTGGCGTAGAGAAAAGGTATTACTGAGCGACTCTCCGCTCTTTCTATCAGTAATGAAGAAGGATTAGCGAAGTTTCGTAAAGTTTCGCAAATACAAAACCTCGGGCGAATCGGCTTTTCTCTGAAATAAAAAGAGCTAACTCTTTTTAGTTTCTAAGAAAAGGTCTATTTCCTCGATAATAATCAAAACCGAATGTACAACACTGTACACAACCAGGCCCTCCATTTTTGATGACACCCCAATTCACTTGCCACACGCACGCGTGCTTGTAGGTGAATCATGGTTCATCAGATGCTGCTTTCAGATCCATTCCAAAACGTCTGTTACCGTAGCACGCTACGCACACAGATAACCCTTCCATAATTTCATCGTCTACAACCACCTCTCAACTTTCACTTCTGTTCTGTTTCCTCTGTCCTCAGTTTCCAACATCTCAACGTTTTGATTTAGCAAGTCAAGACCTGCGATGCCAGAACCTGATCAGCAAGAGCCAACAGCTCCCGTCAGCGAGGCGATGGATACGGGCCTTAAGGAAGCTAGTCTTCCAAGGGGTTCCGAAGTGGATGAACAGATTTTCGAATCTGTCAACACAAAACCTGAATTCTCTACACAAAACCAGTCAGAAAACATTGGAGAAGGCGAAGCGATGGACACTGATGCTGTCCATGTTGACAGTGAGGTGTTCCGGAAGCCAGCCGGATCTGATGGCCCTGAAGGATACGTCCAAAAGGGTAAAACTCTGAGAACCAAAACCAAACCAAAACCGAATGACTCTTTTCTCCCAGAACCCGAGGACGAACGTTTCCAACGCCTTATGGGACTTCGCGCCTTGGGTGATACGGGCGCCTTCTGGAGTTGTCCTCCAGTCGACGAAAACAAGGAAAAGGTTGTCAAGCCTATCGATCCAAAACCATGGGATATGCATATCCCTAAAGGCATTGTCCAACGTCTGCGCATCCCGGGCACTGGTGAGAAGACGCCCATCGCGGTGTACTTCCACGCCAGGTCGCTCATGACTGAGGATGTGTACGAAGGACCAATGCCAGAGTATCCAAAGTACCTCGACGATCTGTCGATTAACTTTCTACTCGAAGTGTCTATCAGACACAAACTCAGAACCAATGAAACCTACAATGCGGTACATCGTTACCGCTTGAAGGATTTCATCTTTAACTTCAGGGAGCAAGTCTCTAACGGAAGGTCAGAGGATACCAAGCCCACATTGCAATATTTTCTGAGGAACGCTGAGTTGATGCGAAGTATCGCTCCTCACCTCTTCTCCAGAAAAGGGGAGACACTGCGCTCAGTTCTCCGTGCAATGGATTTGAACCAAGACGAAACCCAGAACCTCTGCGAAACGATCTACGAGTACCTTGAGGAGATGATCCAATCGGACGTCGAATCCTTGGTGCCAATCGCTTACGCTCTAGGAGTCAGCACTAACGTGCTGAGCCTCCTAGGTGATATTCAGACAGAACCAGCGACCGCGTGGAAAATGTTCATCTGCGACGTTATGGAGCAATTCCAAGCGGCAAAGAAGAAACATCAGACCATTGTCCCCCCGACGATGAAAAAACTCAACGCCCGCGTTGCCGCTGATGCTCAGAACAATTTGTCGGCGTTTTACGCTGAACGCGAGAATGCCCGACAAATAAAAGTGGAGACTGGACATCTCCGACAAAACAGCTTGTTGTTTCCGGATAACCCGGAACAATCGACTGCTATGTTCGGTGTAGTTCAAACCTCCAGCGACCCAAACGCGAAGTGCTTCTCCCAGGCCATCACCAACAAGCCGAAGACGAGATTCTACGACGAGTTCCACCATCAGCCCAGGCTGGGCATCTGGCAGCGAACACCAAGAAACTGCATCACCGTCAAGGGCAAGTACGTCATCGTCACGCCTCTCGCACTCTCGCATCGACGGGTCTTCGACAAAACCTACACAGTGGAAGAAAAGCACCACCGTCTGCCCGACGAGTACGCTCGCCAATGGACAGACGAGTACCGCTTCACTGTACCCCCAGGACCAGGTGAAAAGGGAGCACTTTTGTTCTCTTACTACACCTTTGATGAGGATCTTGAGGAACTCATTTCAAAGGTGTACACCAACGAAGTTGAACCAGTTCACATAAAACCAGCGCCTCAAGTACAAAAGCCGAACGCCTGTCGTACGTACCCTCTTTGGGACTCGAACCCCCGGTTCAGTGAGGTTGATCAAGTTCCGATCAGTAGCAAAATCAAGCGACTCTGGAGGAATTTGGTTAACCCTCCACACCGGGTCGACCATTCGTTCGAGGCGTACAGGAACAAGCCGCACGCTGAGTACTATCCTGAGGACCCAGAACAGCATAACTTGTGGTTGCTACAAACTGTAGTGATCGCATACATGCGCGTAGTCCCCAATGCGGACGCCCCCAACGGCCAAGGACTATTTCATGACGGTCTACACCTATTCAATCCGGTGTTTAGGCTATGTGAAGGAATCCTACCGGGCATGGGCGGATACCTCGGAGGCAAAACCTTAGGGTTTGTTGATGAGGAAACCCTTTGGGATTTCTACGAATATATTATCAAAGACCTGAAGGAACCGGATTACAATCTGGCGTTCACCATTCCCTACCTAGGGATCAACGGGAACACCCCAGGTGTGATCCGAGATTCCGTCAAACACTTTATTGGAGAACCAAGACCAAAGAGCGATCATCCAGTCCCTATGCGAAACAAGTATCAGGCGCTGGAAGACTTTCTCAAGCTCTCTGAGTATTCCAAAACCAATGTCCCGAGCCTAGCTCAAGGACCCAACACCCGTTGTATCTGCGCAGGCGCCTCTAGCTGTTTCCACAGCAGGGAGGTATGTCTTCAACTCATGCCATACAGTATTTTCCTGGATCTGGCAAGGGAGGAGGGAATCTGCCCGGGTACAAAAGATACCAAAGCCTTCTCTTGTGTCTGGTCGACTTGCTTCCAGGAGCATAAGATTACAAGACACAAGAGTGATGAGTGCCCAAACATGGCGCTTTTGCCCGTCTGTAGCCACTGCGACAGCGGAGCTCATCACAGTCCCTGCTGGTGCCCTGCATGGAAAGTCCAACTCGGTCTATTCGATCTGAGCGGTGACGAGTACTACGCCATGCACTACGAGCTCATCTCCTGGGACCGAGATCGGTACCCCAGGACGAGCCGTGATATGTTTTTGAAACAGCGCACGAGGAAGAACCGTTTGTTGATCCTCAACACCGATGGACAGAGCAAGAAGCCTGAAAACCCGGTGCAGGACAACAACACGGCGAACCCACCCACGCAGCAAGCGGTGATCGATCCGCTCGAACAATTGCTTGCTGACGTGGCCGCCATCCACGGCCTTGAACCAAAACCAGTGCCCGTCATGACCAAGAGTCAGAAACGAGCACACAATACCAGTCTATCGCAAGACCAGCCGAGCACTAGCAAGGCTCACCAAAGCCCAACACCATCCACGGATCGTACCAGAACCGTGTGGAAAAAACCAAAGTCGGCTAAAACGGACCAAAGCGACCGGCCAACAACTTCCGGCGCTCGAATGTCCCGAAAAGACCGCCGTGAGAGCCACTCTCCGGACCGGTCGATTCGCCGAAAAGCCAAAACCAAGTCTAAAGAGAGCAAGCCTCTCAAGGACAGGAGCCGTTCCTCCAAAGGATCCAAAACCTCGACGACCGAGAGGAACAAACTCAAAGTTGTTCAAAATATGGATCTTGGTGCGCCGGTCACTCGCCCCGAGCAACTTGAATCCATCGACACAAACCCCGAAGCAGAAGGCTCACCAAACGTGTCTCAAAAGGTCAATTCGGCCCCGAAAGACACGGTTGGTCCTGTCACGTACTACGAGATGGACTTCGATTCGTTCTCCACGTTCATGCCAACGGACCAACGGCCAAGCGCTACCAGCCAGGCCAGTGAGTACTTCACTGCTACCCAAGACCAGAGCCAAACCGGCGTGCACCATGAGTCACCAGGTAGCTCGCGACTCGCCAGCTCGTCTACGCGCTCCAGCCGTAGCCAGCCGTCGACCCGCTCCACTGGAGCTTACAAGACCCACTCTGGAGGTTCCCCACCGATCGGTAGGGGTACTTTCCACCGCCGGCACTAGGTGATTTACCACCGCAGCCAAATTTGAAAACAAAACCAGGTTCCATACGAGAAGCATGATTCTTCTCAAAGGGAACCACTCCTTTTTTTACGTTTTTGTACCAAAACCCGGCTTACCTACTTTGAGCATGTTACTTAAAACAGGAAGCCAATTTTTTTTGTCTTGAACCAACATCAAAAAATCCGATCCTTCATCGGTTCCTAACTGGAAGGAGAATCTTTCTCCTTACTTTTAGCGATTTCTACCCAAAACCCGTGGCATCAAGAATCAATGGACACAACTTCGACGACACTCAACACCTCCACCTGCTGCCAATCGTTTACAAGATCGACAGCGACGTTTCCTATCTAACATTCACTGTGTCAAGTATGTTCGTTTCTCATATTCTTTGTGCCCCCTCCTTTCCACCCCAGTCCCTTGTTCTAATTACAGGAATCCACTGTAAAAGGAACAAATTCCCCAATTTAAGAGGAATCCGTTTGCATACGGTATCCTCTTTTCCCGCTTCTCCGATCCAACACCTTTTTTCGTGGCCGGCAGGCTCTCCTTCCAGCAAGGAACCTGCCACGTCCAAAACCCACTCTGTCTTGCCCCCCGTTGCTGGGGGCGGGAGTGTCGAAAGTATCTTGCCAAAGGCAAGACTTTCGAAGGGTATTACCCTTCGGGGAATTATCCTGGGGGCGTGACTTTTATCCAGTGGGCCCGTGACCGTACCCCCCTGGGCGGTCCGGCGCGCCCATCCCTTTCCCCGGGGATTTTCCCGGGCCTACGGCCCTCTCCGATTTATCGGATGTTTTTGGGGAAATTGCAATGAGGACTTATTGTCCCGTTGCCACAGTCCTTTATGGATTGTGCCCTCGGAGAAGGGAAGCGGCCCTTACGAATACCCAAAACCTGCCCGCTATGGGCTTAAACCAGAACCTGTTTTCCTTTAGGCCGAAGGCCTTTCTTTCTCTAACTCTCACCGTTCCCCTTTTATCTCTCTCGTTTATTCTCACTGATAAATACTTGTGACCGAAACTGTCTTCCGTATAATCACATGGCAGGACACAAATTCTATTCCACTGAACAATCCTACTACATCTTCTTGTGGTATGCTTCTTGGGTTCGTGAATCTTTCTGGGTCTATGCTCTATGCTAGGCTTGGGGAGTTTGAATGGGCCCAAGGGGCACTGGCGGGAATATAGTGTGGCAGACTATTATTCCTCGTCAAACCTATCGAAAAAGGGTAGTGTAGAATCCAAAAATCTATAATCATCCCTTGTGCTCCCCTTTAACGCTGAAATGACCCACCATGGTCCGAAATAAAAATAATATTCGTGCAATGGAGTCGTTTGGCTTTGTGAAGAACATTGAAGAAATCCCCAATAGCTTGATCGATTCTCTCGAGGATGGCTGTAAGCTAAAAGATTTTGCAGGGATGTCTAGAGCTCAAAAAGACGAACTGAACTTGGCTTACCCTACAGAGTTATGCGGAATTAAGAAAATGGGTCTTTGACTTCCAAGTCCCTGTAAACCCAACCTTTGGCGAGTCGCTCTGCACCAAATGTCTGGTCTCATCCGGTTCATTTGAATATCCAATCACCAGCCCTGGCCGTATTGCGCGTGGTTTTAGGATTTCTTCAGCTACCTAAAAAGGCTGAACATAGCTTTATCTTGACGGATTTTGCCTGTATATATTTGATTAGATTTTTGACGGCTTAACGAGTTTGAAATCGTTCAGTAGTAGCATTTTCCAATTCACCCATTTTCACGTCGAAATAGGGACAAAAACACGTGCGGCGCAGTGCGTTGGGCCCCTCATCTGGCCACTTGCCAGAAATCAAGAGCTGACCGAGCGGACCAGCCTTCTATGCTCCTTTAAAAGCAAGCCTCTCCGAACGCTATGTATTTTTTGCCGTATTTCCCATGAAGATATGCGTGTCATAGACACGATAATTATTTTTTCCTCGAAAACTAGACCTTTCCCGGCTTCCCAACCCCTTTAAACTCACCCTGCTCAACACCTTCTCCACTGGCACATTCTCAAAAATCTCCGTCACATCCGGCCGGTTTTCTGAAAAACGGATTTTATGCGTGGTTGAATTCCCCCCATTGACTACCCGGATAATGGTAACATCCCGGATAGAATAGACACGACACGCGTCTCCCCGTCTGACGTCGATACGTCGCCCAAATCTGGAAATTCGGAATCGCGGCAACCGGATTTGACGTCACAACGGGGCCCATTCTAAGTTTTCGGTTCAAAGTCAAAGACACGTACGGGTTCCCCGCCGTACTTGTAGTATTCGTAGCGGCTCGTCTTTCGCACGTCCACAAAATCCGGTGAGATGGACGGGTCGTAAATCTGGAAAGCGTTCTTTTTTTTGGTCCTAGGAATACAGGAGCTGATTCGTTAGCTGAAGGACTTTTTTTGTGGGTGGTTTTACTATGCTTTTGCTCTCGCTATGTCATGGCACCTTCGTGAGCTACAAAAAATAGCCTAAAAAATTGAAATTCACGAAGATCGGGTGACGATACGCCCCCGCCCCTCCCCTCTAACAAACCAGTGTGTAAACCAGTGTAAACCAGTACAGGGTGTCCCAAGCCCCCCCCTCTAGCGGCACCCAGACGTGTCCGATTCTCGCCCTTTAGGTATATATCGAAAGCTCTCGAAAAGGCGAGAAAATAAGAAGAGTTCATTTTCTTTATTACGTATTCTTATTGGCGAATTTTACCTCCAAAATCCACGAAAACGGCAGATTTACGCGAGATCCGCATGCTAATTGCGAAATTCCTATTGAAAAGCTACCTGTTTTTTAGAAAAACGCTGAATATCGGACGAATCAGAATAAATCTTAGAAAATGAAGCCCGCTTGTTTTATCGCCTTTTCGCGGGCGTTCGAATGGTATAAAAATCATCCAGGTCTGAGCTTGCCACAGACCGCTAGGGGGTTGGGACACCCTGTAGTACACGGTAGTTCGTCCGGATTTTAGTAAACTTGGTAATATGAGCAAATCCAAAGGGTTTTGAGAGTCTAAACGTTACCGTACCCAATTCTCGACAATGCCATGATAGCCGGGGTATAACCCAGTGACCATCGTGTAGTGATTGGGAAGGGTTTTCGACGGGAATGTCGGCTTTACGTGCTGAAACGAGGTTTTTGTCAGTATTAACACTTTTAAAAGCTTTTTAAAGATTTTTTAGTAGCCTTAAATTAAAAAAACGACGAGGAATGGCCTTTTAAGGATTTTACTAATTAAGCAAATTTTTCTCATCAAATTACACCACCGCCTATCAGCATCAAACTCTTACAGCTTTTTTGTTAATTGCCTAGTTCCTAATACCGTAAAAACGTAAAATTCCTCGACTGCTAATCCAATCGTTATCAAAATTTCAGATTTTTTAACACATTTAAGACAATTTAAGAAATTCTGCGCTTTTTCGTCACAATACTATACCGTTTCCTTTGGGAAGCGGAATCCCGGAATGAAATTTTCATAAAGATCTCATACTTTCTATGTCCCCCGATCATTAACTACAAACACATTTTTGTGTGCAGGACATCCCTATTCAAATCTCTCTTTTCACGGCGAATCAGCATACTGTAAACCACGGATTTCCTGGTTTCCCCGCATTTTTCGACCGCCGGCAATGCGCGCTTTTTCTGGCTGTCGCCGGGGCTAATCTGAGGGGAATCCCGGGATTGGTGTTCCAACGAACACCGCATATTCCGGGGCGCTAAATTAAAAAGTGACTAATGCGAGTGGGGGAAAGAATCCAAGCGGCATAGAGCGCTTAGTGCGAATTACTGTATATAGGAACTATATACAAAAAATGGAAGACTTTTAGCGAAATTGGGTTCAAAATGATGTCTCGGGCTAGACAGGGGGATTTGGAAAGTTGCGAAAAATGAGGGCATGGTATGTTGGGGGGATAATGGGAATTTAGAAATATATTGCTACCACTCTCCCCCCTCTCTCTCACCCTCTCTTTCTCATTCTCTGCCTGTCTCTCTCCCTCTCTCCCTCACTCTCTCTCTCTCTCTCTCTCTCTCTCTCTCTCTCTCGCTCTCTCCCTCTCGCTTTCTCTCGTACTCTCCCGTTCTCTCTCAAGGTCTCTCTCACACCCTAACTTTCTCTCTCTCTCTCTCTCTCTCTCTCTCTCTCTCTTTCTGTCTACCAACCTCTGCTCGTACTCCCCGCTTCCCCATCAACTCCAGATTTTTGACGATCCCTCTTCGTAGATATTCAGCAGCAAATCCGTCAAAAGAGATCACAACCAATGGACTAGGATCATCTCTGGAAGTTGACAGTCCCTTTCAAAACCTTGAAGCTCATAATCGACCCTTTTGGACGGTTAGGTCTCGTCAGCTAAGCACCCACAAAAACACGAGTACAACACACATTCGAATATTTCTGGACGTCAAAAAGCAAAATTTGACGTGCTTGGGGTCGCTCTACTAGCTGCCGAGACCCAGTGGAAGAAAGGGGTCGATTTTGAAGCCTGATATTACCTTTCAATGCAGTAAAATCCTTACTTGTCACAAATCGGCTCTTCTGCCAGTGCTTCTAGATCGTAGAACCACGAATAGGCATTTACGGTTTCTAAAAGCTTATCGAATAACTTAACAATTCTATTACCCGCCGGCCGATTGAAATATCCATTTTGTCGAAGCAGAAAAATCGATCCGACAATTAACGAAAATAGAAAAGTTTTGCTTAAGAGCTAAAACCCTTCTGATTATAATTTTCGACGGCCTACCGTAGTCCGCGAAAAATCGGCGCCTAGTGAGAAGCCTGAAACAGTTCAAAAATTATTTTTTTTGTCCCTTCACCTCTTCTTTTTTGATATTTTGGAAAGATCTCGTCGGCATAAAAGGGCAGTAGTTTCCTAAAATGCACCCATCAGTTCCCCGGAGCGGCGTCACTTTATTTCCGGAATTATTGCGGGGGTATTGTCGAATATTGCCGATTAGAGCGAAGGGGGAGTCCGGAAATTCGTGGATGCACTTCTT